TGCACTCAGCATGCGGGCCTTCACCGCAGGCGGCCGCTCGGGCGGGATGACAGGGAAGTCAGCAGGTGCCGCCGCCCGCCCCGCCGGTCCAGCAGGCAGGGCCAGGCCGGGCCGGGCCGGGCAGCCCTCGTCCCTGAGGACCAGGGTCTGTCACTTAATGTCGGTCACACGGAGCGCAAAGGGGATGTGGAGCTGAGGACGTCTGCCTGTTCCCTGGTGACTTTTGAATAAAATCGTTTGGGGCACTGGAGGAGGAAACAAGCGGAGGCGGCAGTTCTCTGGACACACGTGCTGCGGCCCCTGTCTGTCCCCTGCCCGTCTGTCCCCCGCCCCCGTCTGTCCCCCGCCCCCGTCTGTCCCCCGCCCCCGTCTGTCTCCGGCCCCCGTCTGTCCCCCGCCCCCGTCTGTCCCCCGCCCCCGTCTGTCCCCCGCCCCCGTCTGTCCCCTGCCCCCGTCTGTCCCCCGCCCCCGTCTGTCCTCGGCCCCCGTCTGTCCCCCGCCCCCGTCTGTCCCCCGCCCCTGTCTGTCCCCCGCCCCTGTCTGTCCGCAGCCCATGTCTGTCCCCCGCCCGTCTGTCCCCCGCCCCTGTCTGTCCCCCGCCCCCGCCGCAGACACCAGGGCTGAGAACCCAGACCGCGCTCCGTTCAAGCGCAGCCAGACCCAGGCGCGGCCCGGGACGCAGCAGAGTGAGCGCCCGCAGGTCTCGGCGTCGAGGGCACAACTTACAAAGTTGGCAGCGTCCATGATTCCATCTTCTACGGGGTGGGTGCAGTCCAGCGTAAACTTCAGAACCTGCTTCTTTTTTTTGCCCCCCTTCGCCACGAGCTTTTTCTGAGAAAGGGACAAACAGAGATGACGGCACAAGCTCCCATCACAGAAAATTAAAAGAACCAACATCACCGAGGGTGTCAGAGCCCATTCAAGTGCAAACCACAGGGCTGTGCTCCCTCCAAGGGCGCCGAGGGCCACCCTCTGCCCCCGAATGGGGACAGGACACCGGCGAGCCAGGCCTTTGCCACGGGAAACCCCTCCTGAACTCCTGACCATTTACACTGTCCAGCCTCCCGTCTCGAAGGGCGTGAGAGTCTGTTAGCTCCGTGGTCAGCAAACTCATTGGTCCGCAGAGCCAAGCATCAACAGCACAATTGAAATTTCTCTTGAGAGCCATGTTAAACTTAAACTTCTTCTAAAACGCCACTTCTTCAACATGGACTCGCCCAGGCCGTGGTGTTTTGTGGAAGAGCCACACTCACGGGGCCAAAGAGCTGCATGTGGCTCTCGAGGCTCGGCTTGCGGACCGCTGTTAGCTTACGAGCCACAATAAAACGCTTCCCCCCCTGCCATGACATGCCCGTAAGTACCTATTTCACTCCAGGACTCAGGCACAGGCATACAACTGCTTCCGTACCTGAAACAACTCTAACCTTTATCGATGCTTGTCCTGACTCTCCAGACCAGGTCCTGGCCCAGAGCAGCCGGTTCCCCTTCCACCTGTCCCACCAGCTCCTCAGAGCAGCGAGGTGACCTCACATCCCAGAACCGCCGAGGAGGGTGAGGGAACCTCGGTTCTAGTTACAACCCCACCGTCAGCCATTTCCGGCATTTTCAAACCATCAGCGGGCACATCTGCCAGTCGGTTCTCATTCCTTTACCCTCACAAAGGAGCTTCCATCAACCTCTCCCTGTACAAACTCCACCACCACTAACAAAGCTTTTGTCCGATCTACACACCTGCCCCTCCACTCTAAAAAGCTTCTGCAGGACCTAAACCCTAAAGCCCCTTCATGCTTCGGAGCTTCATCTAAAACTTGCAATAATTGGGCCAACTTTTCGGACATTCGGCCACTGCGAAGACCACTGCCTTTCCGAGGCCTCTCCTCCCAGTTACAATCCAGAGGGCTGCTTTCAGAGCTACCCCCGGAAATGCACAACCAGCAAGTTAAAAAAATAAAATAAAAATCAGCCCTGCCGTCACAGTTTTACACCAGAAACACACAAATGCACAGACGCCTCAAAGGCCCACCCGAGAGAGTAAAGGAGCCGGAAATGTTAGCAGGGGCGCCAACAGCAGGGGTGGGTAGGAAGCCACCTTCCTCCCAGCGACAGCTTAGCGCGCGACCCGCAGGCGGCGACACGTGGGCGCCGCGCCGCCCGGTCCCTGCCCGGCGCCGGAGCCAGCGCTGCCCGAGGGTCCGGCCGGCTGCGCCCGGTACGACTTCCTCCTGGATCCTCCGAGTCGGCCTCTCCCTGGAATCACACCCCCTCCGCGGACACGGCACTCGTCCCCGGGCCCGGGCCCCGGGCTCCCGGACGCGCGGCTCCCAGCAGGGGCGGCAGGTCCCTGCTCCTTCCCGCCCTCCGCCCGGTAACCAGGCCCAGACCCCGGCGGCAGGCCCCAGGCCGCAGCCGCGGACCCCGGCTGCCCGCTGGCCGCCAGCCGGGGCCCGAGCCGCGGCCTCCGGGCGCTGCGGCTCTGCCTCCCGGGCCCCAGGCCGCGGCCTCCTCCGCCCACGGCGCGCGGAGCCGGGCGGCCGCCCTGGCCCTCGCCGGCCCGCCAGCCCGCCCAGCCCCGGGCGGACGCTGCCGAACGCCGTCCCGCGCGAGCCGCGCAGGAGCCGGGCCCGCGAGGCCCACGTGCCCGCCCCGGAGCCGCGGCCTCACGCGGAGCCGCACTCACCACGGGAGCCATGGCGGCCGCGGAGGCAGAAAGGAAGCCGAGCGCACTGCGCAGGCGCGAAGAGCCGCAGCGCGCAGGGCACGTAGGGCCCAGGCCGTACCAATCGCTCCGCCCCGCCCCTCCGTCATCGCTGCGCCCTGTTCGGTGCGATCGGGGAGCGATTGCTTTCCCCTGTCTGCAGAGCCTGTCTGGTGGAAGGCCTGGAGGATGGGACGGGGGCTGGGTGGATTGTCTCACTGCGAGGGGTGGGCGTGGGGGAGCCCGAGCAGATCGAGCCCAAAGAGAAAAAAAGGGGGACGCTCTACGTTTCAGAGGCTTAGGAAGAAAAAGAAATTCACAGCCGAGCCGAGACCGGTTTGGCTCAGTGGATAGCGCGTCGGCCTGTGGAATGAAGGGTCCCAGGTTCGATTCCAGTCAAGGGCATGTACCTTGGTTGCAGGCACATCTCCAGTGGGGCGTGTGCAGGAGGCAGCTGATCGATGTTTCATCGACGTTTCTAACTCTACCCCTCTCAGTTTCTCTCTGTAAAATTAATAAAATACGTGAAATTAATAAAATATTTTTTAAAAAGAAAGAAAGAAAAGTAAAACGTTTAAAAAAAAAAAAAGAAAGAAAGAAAGAAAAATTCACAGCCGAAACCGGTTTGGCTCAGTGGATAGAGCATCAGTCTGGGGACTGAAGGGTCCCAGGTTGGATTCAGGTCAAGGGCATGTACCTTGGTTGCGGGCACATCCCCAGTAGGGGGTGTGCAAGAGGCAGCTGGTCGATGATACTGTCTCATCAATGTTTCTAACTCTCTAGCCCTCTCTCTTCCTCTCTATAAAAAATCAATAAAAAATATATTAAGAAAAAAAGAAAAAGAAATTCACTAGCACGAATTACCAGCTAATAGGATGGGAGTGGAACCCATCAACGTGGGGAGAGGCCAGGCCCTTCTGGCCCTGGGGTCCCAATATCGAGGGCCCTCTGGCTTCTTCCTACCTGGCACTCAGTTGGAAGCTGGGGCTGTATCTCCCAGTCAGGTACGCTCTCCTGTGTGACCCCTTCACCATCTCAAATGCAAGCTGCCCTCCCACCAACCTCCTGGTTTCCAGGTCTGCCAGTTCTTCTCCAAATGGCCTGGTGTCAGGAAGTCTCCTGGGGGCTGGTTAACATGCATAGTCCTAGCCCAGCCAGTGTGGTTCAGTGGTTGAGCCTCGACCCATGAACCCATCCTGCTCAAGGCACCTGCCGGGCTGGGCTTGCAGGCTCCATCCCCAATAGGGGCTGTGCAGGAGGCAGCCAGTCAATGATTCTCTCTCATCATTGATGTTTCTATCTTCCCCTCCCCCCCTTTCCCTTCCTCTCTGAAATCAATAAAAATATTTTTTTAAATAAAGTTGCCTAGAGAGTTCCCAGCTTTATGTTTGGGGGAACATACTTATAAGGTGTCTATATAAAAATCTATGTAAAATAAAATGCAGTCCTTGTCATTGGCTCATGCCCAGGAGCTGCTGCTGCTGGTTCATGGCCCACAAGGTGAATAGCAAGGGTCTTCCCCAGGCCTACAGTCGATTGACTGTGACAAGAAGAAAAACAGTTCAGATGTTCTAAATTAAAATCACAGTGGCTGGCCCTGACCGGTGTGGCTCAGTGGATAGAGCGTCGGCCTGAGGACTCAAGGGTCCCAGGTTTGATTCCAGTCAAGGGCATGTACCTTGGTTGCAGGCACATCTCCAGTGGGGCGTGTGCAGGAGGCAGCTGATTGATGTTCCTCTCTTGTCGGTGTTTCTGACTCTCCCTCTCCTATCCTCTCCGTAAAAAAATCAATAAAATATATATTTTTTAAAGTTTTTTTTAATATATTTTATTGATTTTTTACAGAGAGGAAGGAAGAGAGATAGAGAGCTAGAACCGTCAATGAGAGAGAATCATTGACCAGCTGCCTCCTGCACAACCCCCACTGGGGAGGTGCCCACAACCAAGGCACATGCCCCTGACCGGAATCGAACCTGGGACCCTTCAGTCCGCAGACCGACGCTCTACCATTGAGCCAAACCAGTTTCGGCAAAAAAAATATATATATATATATTTTTTTTTAATCAATCTTTATTGTTCATATTATTACAAAGGTTCCTCATTTCTTAAATATATATATTTTTAAAAAGAGTTTATTGAGCACTTTATGTGGGACAAGCTCTGGGCTTGGCTCTTTGATTTCAGGAAGGGCAGGGGCTGTTTCCCGGGGCTCAGCGTGCAGAGGAAGCAGACCATGACCCCGGGAGAAGGGCATTCTGGAGGAACTCATCCTCGGATGAAGGAGCGCTCCCCGGGCCTAGATGGGCAGAGGGGACCTTGCAGAAAAGGTGGGCCTGCTTCCTTGGAAGCCTAGTCTGAATTTCACTTCCTGAAAGCCTCACCCCATCGCTGGGAGGCCTGCCCCCTTCTTCCCAAACTCGGAGCTTCTGAGAGGTCCATGACCTGCCACGCCCTCCCGCGCCCTCGCGGTACCGGCGGTCTGTGGGGCGGCACCGCTCTCTGGCGCCCCCAGTGGGCCGCGTTGGAACTGGGGCCACGAGGACCCACTCCTGCCCGGCTCAGGGCCGATGGATACAGCCCCGCGGGCTCCGGCGGCTGCGAACTCAGGGTCCTGTCTGCCCGGTGGGGCCTCGGACCCTCGCGTGGCGCATCCTTCAAAGTCGCGATGTCGCCGCCGCTCCTCCGTCCAGACTGGGAGGCAGGGGCCGGGGCGGACCCCACGGCCGGGCAGGTGGGCGGGGGCACCGCGCGGGAGGGGCGTCGCCGGCGGGTCACCCGGAGGAGGGCGGATTCCTGGGGTGGGGTGCGGGGAGAGGTGGAGGCGGGAGGGAGCGGGCCGGTCCAGCCGCCTGACCTTCCAGGGCACCGCGGGGTGCGGGCGAGGCCGGAGCGCGGGCCCCGGACCGACCTCCGCCCGCCGCCTGCCCATCCGCCGCGCCCCGCGCCCCGCGCCCCGCGCCCCGCGCCCCAGCCTGGCCCGCTGCGCCCGCCCCTGACCGCCGCCGCCCCGCGCGGCCCGGCACCCCCGCCGGCGGATGTCGGGGGCCATCTTCGCGCCCCTGGAGGGCCCGGGCGCCCCGGACGCGGCGGGCGGACACCCGCTCGTGTGCCCGCTGTGCCACGCGCCGTTCGAGCGCCCGTGCCTGCTGGACTGCTTCCACCACGTCTGCGCCGGCTGCCTGCGGGGCCGCGCCGCCGACGGCCGCCTGGCCTGTCCGCTGTGCCAGTGAGTCCGCCCGGGGCCCCGGCCTCTCTCCGGGGAGACCCAGGGGCGGGGCGGGGCGGGCTCTGACAACGGCGGCTCCGGCCCCTGCTGCAGGTCAGATCCGCTGAGGTCTGGGGTTCCCGCCCTGGGCTCCACAGAAAGCCAAAGGCCAGGGTGGATGTCACCTCCGGACTTCGTGCTACTGGAGCACCCCAACCGAGCACGGCGCCAAACCCTCACTCAGGGGTCCCTGAAATCCCCCCGGCCCTCACTCAGGGGTCCCCGAAATACCCCAGGCCCTCACTCAGGGGTCCCCGAAATACCCCAGGCTCTCGCTCAGGGGTCCCCGAAATACCCCAGGCCCTCGCTCAGGGGTCCCCGAAATACCCCAGGCCCTCGCTCAGGGGTCCCTGAAATACCCCAGGCCCTCACTCAGGGGTCCCGGAAATCTCCCAGGCCCTCACTCAGGGGTCCCTGAAATCCCCTGGTCCTCATTCAGGGGTCCCGGAAATCTCCCAGACCCTCACTCAGGGGTCCCCGAAATACCCCAGGCCCTCACTCAGGGGTCCCTGAAATACCCCAGGCCCTCACTCAGGGGTCCTTGAAATCTTAGGTCAATAGGAGCAGGGGATGCCGGCTGGGTCACGGGGCATGGCCGTAAACTCCCCGAGGCCCCGAGAGGGGCTGGAGGGCGGACTCTCGCCTGGTCATCCCAGGTCCCGGCCCCTGAGCTCCCAGGACTCGCCCAGGACGGGGTCAGAGTGAGCAGTGACTGGGATATTTATAGCAGATGCCAGCCTGCTGGGCGGCACCCACCCCCCACCCTATTTTTAGTTCCCGGCTGGAAGGTGGGGAGGGGGTAGGGAGCCTGGGGAAGGGGCCTCTGATCTGGCTGCACCGGCTCCGCAGACACCAGACGGCGGTGAAGGGCCCCAGCGGGCTCCCCCCGGTGGACCGGCTGCTGCAGTTCCTCGTGGACAGCTCCGGGGCCGGCCTGGAGGTGGTGCGCTGTGCCAACTGCGACCTGGAGTGCGGCCTGCAGGCAGGGCCCGGGGAGGCGGGGCCCGGGGAGGCGGGGGCCCGGGAGGCGGGGCCTGGGAAGGGGCCTGGGGCTGGGGCCTGGGGGGCGGGGCCTGGGATGGCGGGGGCCCGGGGCGGGGCCTGGGAAGGCGGGGCCTGGGGCAGGCAGCACGCCTGGGAGGGGAGGGGCGTGGGAGGGGCAGGCAGGGGGTGGGGAGGCAGGGGGTGGGGAGGCAGGGGCCCCTAGGAGGAGGCAAGGGCGCCAGGTCGCAGGGTCCTGATGCTGGCGGAGTGTACCCATCAGGGGGTCCTCCACCACCTCCTTAAGTCACCCCGGATTCCAAATGTAGGCCCTCCCTTACAGGTGGGGAGTCAAGAGTGACCAGCCCATAGGCAGGTTAAGGCCACTCACTTTGGGGAGAGCTTCCTGGTCCCCAACTCAGAGTGGAGCTGAGAACGCAGGGGAAGGGGGTCTCACTGCTACCTGGGCAGCTGTGGCAGCACCCGTCAGCCCTAAGGGAGGTGGGGACTGTGTGCAGTGGGGAGGGGTGACCCTGCCCTGAGTCTGAGGAAAAGCACAAGGGGCTGGGGGCCCAGGGACTCTGGCGGGGGAGGGGGGTAATTCCCAATTCCGGGAGGACGGCCCTACAGCTGGGAGGAGGGGTGCGGGCAGCGCTAGGACGGGTATGACGACCAGCTGGAGGTAAGGAGAGCAGGGGAGGAAACGCCCTTGAATGCCCACGTCAGCACTTGTGCTTCAGCAGCCATTGTGGTCAGTGCCATGCTGCTGCCTGTCCCTGCCCCCGACTCTCAGCCCCGGTCTGGCCTGGGAAAGGGAACAGCAAGCCCTCACCCCTTTCTCCTCCCAGCTACCTCTGGCCCCCACGTGGCCAGGGCGGGCACCGCCTTTTGGCTACTAATGAGGGTGACAAGGAGGTCTACACTCACACCTACACACTCACACACCTTTGTTGTAGGTGAAATGTTTTGCAAATGCGTTTCTGCCCTCTCTCCAACTGCATGTAACCGCCTCCCCTAGCCCATCCCAGGCACCTGTCCCATAGGGAGCCTCGTTCCGCCTCTGAGCCTCGGGGTTCTCATCTGTAAAGTGGGTACACTACAGGGTCTCATTGCATGTAAGCGCTGCAGGAGCTGCGCGCCGCCCGGGCTGGGACTGGCAGGCTCCGGACGCGCAGCGACCGCCGTCCTGCAAGGCGGGACGGGCTGAGGCTCCCGGCGGGGGAAGGGGAAGGGGGGCGGGGGCTGAGCCGGCGCCGGGCCCGCAGGACGCGGACACCACCTACTTCTGCAACACGTGCGGGCAGCCGCTGTGTGCGCGCTGCCGCGAGGAGACGCACCGCGCCCGCATGTTCGCGAGCCACGACATCGTGGCCCTGGGCCAGCGCAGCCGCGACGTGCTGCAGAAGTGCGGTGAGTGCGGCGGGCGGGGGCGGGGCGGCCGAGAGGGGGGCACGGGCCGGCCGGCCCCAGCCTCACCCCGTCCCGCCCCCTCCCCAGCGCTGCACGCGGAGCCCTACATCATGTTCTCCACCGACACCAAGGCGCTGCTGTGCATCCGCTGCTTCCGGGACATGCAGGGGTGAGTAGGGGAGCGGGAGGAGGGGCGCGGGCGAGGCTCTGAGCCGGGCTCACGGGAGGCCCCGCAGGGAGAGCCGAGCGCACTGCGTGGACCTGGAGTCGGCCTACGTGCAGGGCTGCGAGCGGCTGCAGCAGGCGGTGCTGGTGAGTCTGTCCCTGTGCCCCTGGGCCGGGGGAGGCGGGTCCCTGCGCCCCCAGGACGGCTGGTGAGCGGGTTCCTGCGCCCCCGGGACAGGGCAGGTGAGCGGGTTCCTGCGCCCCCGGGGAGGGGGGAGGCGGGTCCCTGCCCCCGGGGCTGAGGCCGCCCGCCCCCAGGCAGTGAAGGCACTGCAGGCGGCCACGCGCGAGGCCATCGCGCTGCTGCAGGCCATGCTGGAGGAGGTGCGGCGCAGCGCGGCGGAGGAGGAGGCCTCCATCCACTCCCTGTGCGGCAGCCTGCAGGTAAGGGGGGACCGGCCAGCCACAGGCTGGGCAGCCCCGTCGGCGGTGACCCGGTGCCCAGACAGAGGGCGCCCCCCAGAGCCCTTGCGGAGCTTCGGGCACCCGCAGGGCAGCGGCCTTGAACTCCCAGGCGTGGGCCACAGTGGCCAGGAGAGGTCAGAGGGAAGCCGGGGCGGAGGTGGGTGGGTGGGTGGGTCGGTGGGGAAGGAAGGGGAGACAGGAATGACAATTATGGGGAGGGCCTGGGCTCTCATGCAGGGGGCGCTGCAGGGGGTGGGGCTGGTATTGGAGAGGGCACCGGCCTAGCCAGTGTGGCTGGCCCAGGGAGTGGACGTGGTAGGAGGGAGGTGGGAGGGGGCCGGGCTGGGGATGTGGTCAGTGCAGCCTTCCCTCCAGGACAAGCTGGCGGAGAGAAAGGCGCTGCTGCTGCAGGCTGTGCAGAGGTGAGTCCCTGGCTTCCGCCCTGCCCCTCGGCGCCACACCCCTGGCTCACAGCCCGGGCCCATTCCAGGGAGCAAAACACCAGGTGCCCACCATGAAGAGGGCAGGGGGTTCAGGGCATGGCGAGGGGAGAGTGGCAGGGGAGGATGCTCCCAGCTGGTGGGGTGATGGGACCCCTGGGTCCGGCCCCCTGGGGGTGAGAAGCCCTCCCCCTGGAAGCTGAGGCCGCTGCCCCTCCCCAGCCAGTATGAGGAGAAGGACAAGGCCTTCAAGGTGCAGCTCTCCCAGCTGGCCACGCTGCTGCCCACCCTGCAGGTAAGGGAGCCGGGGCGCGGGGCTGGGCACTCTGGCACAGAGTGCCCCTCCCAGGCCGGGCACCGAGCAGTGTCCCTCACGCAGGTTCACCTGGTCATCTGCTCCTCCTTCCTCAGCCTGGCCAGCAAGGCCGAGTTTCTGGACCTGGGCTACGTGAGTCCCCAGCCCCTGGGGGGCCTCCCCCTCCCACACGGGGCTTCCCAGGCCACCACCGAGGGCTGGCAGCCTGTCCCCTGGAGGCTGGACCAGGGTCTCTGGGCTCACCTTCCCCTCTTCCACACCCTCACCCACAAACTGGTCAGGGAACAGCTGATCCCATTTTAGGGGGAGGGTTTCCCACCCCCGCAAGGGGCTGGACCTATTGGTTCCATCACCTCCACCAGCTCTGGTGTGGCTCAGTGGATAGAGCGTCTGCCTGTGGACTGAAGGGTTCCAGGTTTGATTCTGGTCAAGGGCATATGCCTGTTTGCAAGCTTGATCCCCAGTAGGGGGCGTGCAGGAGGCAGCCGATCAATGATTCTCATCATTGATGTTTCTGTCTCCCTTTCCCTTCCTCTCTGAAATAAATAAAAATACATTTAAAATAAGCCCTAGCTGGTTTGGCACAGTGGATAGAGCATCGGCCTGCTGACCAAAGGGTCCCGGGTTCGATTCTGGTCAAGGGCATGGACCTTGGTTGCAGGCTCCTCCTCAGCCCGGGTCCTGGTAGGAGGGTCATGTAGGAGGCAACCAATCGATGTGTTTCTCTCACATGGACGTTTCTCTCTGTCTTTCCTTCTCTTCCATTCTCTCTCTAAAAAAAAAAAAAAAAAAAAAATCAATGGAAAAATATCCTCAGTGAGGAATAACAAAAAAAATTTAAATAAAAAATATACCCTAGATAATAAAATCCTAATGTGCAAATTGATAACCGAAGAAGTGACCAGCGGAACAACTGGTCGCTATGATGCACACTGACCACCAGGAGGCAGACACTCAACGCAGGAGCTGCCTCCTGGAGGTCAGTGCGCTCCCTCTGAGGCAGCTGCTCAGCCAGAAGCCCAGCTCAGGCTGAGTGCAGCGGTGGTGGCGGGGCTTCTCCCGCCTTCGCTGCAGGGGGCAGCAAGGAGCGAGGGGTCCCAGACAGTGAGAGCCCCTGACTGCGAGAGGGGTGTCTGACTGCCCGTCTTAAGCGGGAAAAATCGGGCCTAAGCCAGCAGGTGGACATCCCCCCAGGCCTAGTGGCTGCGGATTGTGAGAGGCACAGGCCAGGCTGAGGGACCGCCCCGCCCCCAGCGCACCAGGCCTCTAGCATTAAAAATAAAGAATAAGTAAAAGGACAGCACAGCCTGGAAGGCCAGTAGAAGCCTCTGCTCCCCCAAAGTGCAGCGTCTAGTGGCGTCCAGCCACCCAATCTTTCCCTTGAGGCCTTCCCCTCCCTATGATCCTCTCACCATGCGTGTACACACATACACACACACGCTCACACAACACACTCACACATACACTCACATACGCTCACACACACATACACAGGCTCACACACACATACTCACACACACTCACACAACACACACACATACACTCACACACACACATACACACACACACACTCACACACACATACACAGGCTCACACACACATACACACACTCACACACACACAACACACACACACATACACTCACACACATACACACACTCACACACACACAACACACACACACACACATACACTCACACACATACACACACTCACACAACACACTCACACATACACTCACACACGCTCACACACACATACACAGGCTCACACACACATACACACACACTCACACAACACACACATACACACACGCTCACACACACATACACAGGCTCACACACACATACACACACACTCACACACACTAACACACACACACAACACACACTCACACACACACACGCTCTCACACACACACACACACACGCTCACACACACACACACACACACACTCACACACACACACACACTCACACACACACACCCTCACACACACACACACACTCTCTCTCACACACACACCCTCACACACACTCACACACACACAGCCTGAGCGCCCCCCCCCCCCCCCAGGAGCTGATGGAGAGGCTGCAGGGCATCGCCACCCGGCCCCACCGCCTCCGGCCGGCGCAGAGCAGCAAGGTGGGCGCGGGTGCCCCCCCATCCCCCACCCCACCCCCACCCCTACCCCCCACCCCACCCCCCACCCCCCACCCCCCACCCCACCCCGGTCCTGGGCTCAGACCGTGTCTCCGCCCAGATCGTCAGCGACCACCGCGCTGAGTTCGCGCGCTGCCTGGAGCCGCTGCTGCTGCCGCCGCTGGGGCCGCGCCGCGCTGCGGGTGCCGGGGGCCCCAGCACGTGAGCGACACCCCTCCTGCCCCCTTCCCCCTCCGCCCCCCGCCCCCTCCGCCCCCCGCAGGGCTCCCCGGAGGCCAGGACTGGCTGGGCGCTGCCATCCACCGGGAGCCCGGTCAGGGCAGGACTCTGTCCGCAGCCTGGGCGCTGAGGGCAGGGCAGCTGGGGGTGGGGGCTCCCCCAGGCCGGACACCCGGAAGGAGTGAGGGGAGGGGAGGGCTCAGCGTTTCCGGGGCCAGCCTGACAGTCTGGTATGGACCTCCACATTGACTTCACCGGAGGGTTTAACATCCCCTGCGGTGTCACTGGTCCTGGGTGCGGATTTGCATCCGCTTTTCTGGGGCTCCCAGGGTGGTTCTGGGTGCAGTCTGGGGGGAGGGGGCTGGGGCCTGGGGGAGGGGAGAGCCGCCCTCCCGGCCCCCGAACCCGCATCTGCATCCGCGCTGGCTCTCGCCCAGGTTGGCAGGGGTCTCAGGCCCCAAGGTGCTGGTGCCCAGCTGCCCCTCCCCGGTGGGGAAGCTGTTGGGGTCCCCGGTCCAGAAGCCCACGCTGCACCGGGCCATCAGCACCAAGGTGCTGCTGGCGGAGGGCGAGGACACGCCCTTCCTGGAGCACTGCCGCCGCTACGAGGACTCCTACCGGGTGAGGGCCTGGGGGCCGGGCCCTCGCCTCCTCACGGGGGTGGTCGGAGGGGTGAGTGGGGGCCCCCCGGGGAGGCAGGGCCTGCAGCAGCCCCAGGCGCTCAGGGGAGGCCCGCCCGCCCGCAGCGCCTGCAGGCGGAGATGCAGAGCCTGAAGGACCAGGTGCAGGAGCTGCACCGGGACCTCACCAAGCACCACGCGCTCATCAAGGCGGAGATCATGGCGGACATCCTCCGCAAGGCCCTGCAGGTGGACGCGCAGATCGCCTCGGAGTACGCCTCCGCGGAAGGGATGAGAGCAGCCTTCCAGGAGGTACGGTACCCCTGCCCAGGACCTCGCTCCCGGCCGCTCACCCTTCAGCACGCACACGGCCACCCCCAGACAGGAGGGGGGAGAAGAGGGCATTGGCTGGTGCCCCGGGGGGGGGGGCCGGGGCGGGTCTTTGCTGCCTGGAACCCCGTGGACTGGCTGGGGTGCCTGTGGCTCTGGGTAGCTGGGGGACAGGAATGCCACCAGTGGAAATTCCAGCTTACACCACACGCGTGCCCACCCTCCTTTCTCTTTCAGATGTGGGCGGAGTCCTACCAGCGGGTAGCTAACGAGCAGGAGATTTACGAAGGTCCCAGGCAGCTGCTGCTGGGGCACCACCCCGTCTGTCCCGGAGCTAACCCACGTCCCGTAGGGCAGGAAGGCAGTTACCCACTAACCAGACACAAGAATCCCCATGCTCTTCCCTTAGCCCTTGGTTTGGCCTCCCAGCTGCTAACTGGCCCCCACACGATGCACCTGGGGCCACGATCCAGTGAGCAGAAGGCCCCCCCTCTCAAGTCTGACTCCGCTCTTTAAGGAGCCAAGTAGTGAGGGGAGTGGTTGGGATGTTGCGATGGTGTGGAGCTGGGGGGGGGGGTGAGAATCTGGATGGAGGCAGTGAGACCCAACGCTCTGGCCTTGGCCCCACAGCCCAGCTCTATGACCTCCTCCAGCTGAAGCAGGAGAACGCCTACCTGACCACCATCACCAAGCAGATCACACCCTACATCCGCTCCATTGCCAAGGTGAAGGAGCGGCTGGAGCCCAGGTGAGCGGGGTGGGGGTGGGGGCTGTCCTCAGGGGAGCCCAGACACTTAGAATGTGTGGGAAAGGTGCCCCATACCAGGAAGAGCCCTCCATGAGGCCGCATCATGAGGTTTGAGGGGGGCACCTGGGTGGCCCAGGTGCTGGACCATCTGCCAAAACACAGAATGAGCGGGTTGCCCTGAGTTCCTGCTTCTAGGCACACGCTCTCCCGCCCTCTGGCTCTGGCGAGTAGGTCAGAGCAGAACACACTTTATGGGAGAGCGGGGAGGCCCCTCCGCTAACCCAGCAGGACATGGAGAGCACAGACCTTCCTCTGTGCACGGTCACTCTGGGCAGGGAGCCACACCGGCTCCCAGCACCAGGCAGGAGCTTCGGAAGGTGTTCCAGTGGCAGAGGGATCCTCTGCAGGCCCTCAGTGTGCCCGCCTCTTCAATCACAGCCTCCAGTGGCTGGTTGTTCTTTACATCCGGTGCACAGCAGTCAGCCTGAGCTCTCCATCCATTACGCTCCTGGGGATCCATTTGCCTCATTCCTGCCAGATCTCCTGTGTTTTACATCTCATTTGCCTATTTTTTTTTTCTGATTCTGCTTTATTGGCCTCCTAGCACTTTTTTAATAAATATATTTCTTTTTTTAAAATATATATTTTATTAATTTTTCACAGAGAGAAAGGGAAAGGATACAACCAATGTACATGCCCTTGACCGGAATCGAACCTGGGACCCCTCAGTCCGCAGACAGATGCTCTATCTACTGAGCCAAAACAGTTTCGGTTGCCTATTTCATGTTTTTAAAAATATATATATTTTATTGATTTCAGAGAGGAAGGGAGAGAGAGAGAAACATCAATGATGAGAGAGAATCATTGATTGGCTGCCTCCTGCATGCCCCCCACCGGGGATTGAGCCTGCAAAACAGGCATGTGCCCTTGGCTGAAATCGAACCTGGGACCCTTCAGTCCACAGGCCAACACTCTATCCATTGAGCCAAACCAGCCAGGTTTGAGTGTTTGAGTTTGGCTCTGGTGCAGAGTGAGCTTCGGGACACGCAGTGGCAGCTCGGCTTCCTCTGCAGGTTCCAGGCGCCCGCAGACGAGGAGTCAGAGCAGCTCCAAGACCCGGGTGACGCCAGCACGAGCGACGAGGCGCAGGCCAGGTACAGCTGCCTTCCCGCCCTGGGCGGCCGCCAGCTCATCCAGAGGCACTCCCGCCGGTCCCCCGAGGCCTGAGGGGGCCTCCATGTGCAAAATAGGGGCCAGAGAGGTTTGTAATCTGGACAGTGACTCGTAGAGGATGGATGTGACTTTGATAGACGTGACCCACGTTTTCTAACCTTCAGTGCATGGCGGCTGCCGGGCGCCGACACCACCGAGCGCCGCCAGCACTCGGCCTGGCTCCTGGGCACTCACACGCGTGGCCCCCGCCCAGGGGCGAGGAGGAGCAGTGACTGGGGACCACTCTGGGAGCACTGCTGCCATTGGAGCCGCGGTGTTGGCAACACTGCCGGAGGGAGGAGAGAGGGCAGCAAGACAGGCACAGGCACAGCGGGCTCTCCGCCTTCCCTCGGGGTGAGACGTGCCATGGGGTGGGGGCAGAGAGCGGAAGTGAGGGTCAGAGCTGAGAGAGCCCGGAGCCCTGGCAGGTCTGCTGCCGTGGCTGGAGACAAGGCGCGCGCGCACACACACACACACACACACACACACACACACACCAGGCGCCACGGTTCCTTCCGATGCTTCAGGGGAGTGAACTGAGCTGCTGAGAGCCGAGCTGCTGTGTCTGGGCAGCTACCTCTCGTCATAAGTGAACTAACCCTGAAGGAGGCCATCGCTCTGGCTCTGATGATGCAGTCACCGCGCGGCCTCCTGCTCCGAAAGCCTGGGCCGGGTGGATGCCAGTGCTGGGCATGGTGAGGCGGGCGGCAGGGGGCGCCACAGGCTAGAGCTCACGTCCATGATCTTCCAGGAGTGACCCGGTGTGCGGGGCGGACAAGAGGGAGAAGACCTCAGAGCCGAGAGGGAATGGCCGGACCCCGCACGGCCTCACGGAAGAGCCTCCCCTGCAGAACAAAGATCCTCACAGACCCAAAGCGCGAACCGGGGGTGATGCCGCCCCACGGAGGGAGCGCCCCGCCTAGCGGATGGGGCAGGTCCGGGGCGGGGCCTGTCACGGCAGGTGGGTGAGCCGGGCCTGTAAGAAACACGCACTCCCACCGCGATGTTTCCCCAGGTGAAGGGGGATCGCTTATCGGCAGGAACACCCAGAAACTCTCCCAGGTCCTCATTTCAGTCCCGTGTTCACGTGACACAAAGTCTTGGTGCTCATCACGGGGACAGGGGATGAGTCCTAGCCCCACCTGGTTGTTCAGTGAAGGGACACCCAGCCCAGCTGGTGTGGCTCAGTGGTTGAGCATCAGTCTATGAACCAGCTCACAGTTTGATTCCAGGTCAGGGCACATGCCCAGGTTGTGGGCTCCGTTCCCAGTAGGGGGAGTGCAGGAGGCAGCCAATCAATGATTCTCTTGCATCATTGATGTTTCTATCTCTCTCTCTTCCTCTTTGAATAAATAATAAATATCTACCTACACTGATAAAGATGCAAATTGACCGTCCCTCCATGATGCTCACCAGCCAATCAGGAGTGAGGACGCAAAATTAACCCAACAAAATGGCAGGCTAATTTGCATATGCAGGCACGGAGAGGAAGACAAGGCTCCATCCCGGCGAAGACTGAAGGCTCCACTGCGGCCAGACAAGCCTGAAGGCTGAAGACTTCGCTCCGCTGCAGCCCAGGTCCTGGTGCCCAAGAACTGGTGCCAGCAGCCAGGGGAAGGAAGGCCTATTGCCCAAATCTTTGTGCAATGGGCCTTTAGTTTTAAATAAATAAAGCAACATCCAGCCTCAGGCCTCTCCCCGGCCCAGTCCCTCCCCAGTTCCTGTGCTGCCCTGTGTCAGGATTACTGGCGTGCCCGGAGGCGCAGACCGCTCTGGCGAGACTCCAGCCTCAGAGGAAGCCAGTTTCTCCCGAGTCACAGCTCCACGGTTAACCGGGTGCCACTGGGATGTTCTACCCAGCAACCTGAGCACTGCTCAGCAGAGGGAAACCCCGTGCCGGCTTCCTCCCAGGCCAGGGCTGAGCTCCAGAGCAGGTGCGAGGCGGGGATCCCCCCCCCAGCTCCTCGGCTCCTTCGCAGGCTGCTGCCTGCACCTGTGCTCGCCTTCTGCTGATTATTGAAGCAGATTCAGCAGCAACTTGTCTCTGCTAGCTTCCCATTCCTACATAGCACCCTTTCTGCAAGAGGAACGGAATGTTCTTTAAAACGGAAGATTGCCCTGGCTGGTGCTGCTCAGGGGTTAGAGCATCGAGCATTGGCTTGTGCACTCAAGGGTCCAGGGTTCAATTCCTGGTCAAGGGCACATACCTGAATTGCAGGTTTGATCCCTAGCCCGGGTCGGGGTATGTGTGGAAAGCAACCAATTGATGTGTCTCTCACATCAACGTTTCTCACACTCCCTTCTCTAAAAAATAAAACCAAATCAATGGGAAAAATGTCCTCATGTGAGGATTAACACACATAAAAAAGGAGCATTAGCCTACAGGACCTAAAATTTAAAGTTTTGAGGCAAATGTGCCTGGAAAGTCGCATTTTAAGCAAATGCCCATCTCGTCAGAGGTTCCAACAGCCAGTGGCTTTTCTGCACCAGCTGGGCTTGCACGTCAATATGCCAACCCCCTGGACCTGCCGCCTCAGGGTCTGCTGTGCCCGTGCCAAGACCTCGGGAGCCTGCAGGGAGCGAGCGCCGGGCACCACCAACTGCGCGGAGGCAGGACGGCAGCGCGGAGGGGAAGACACCCGGCTGATGCTGTAGGTCCTCTCCTCTGAGCCCAGCGGCAGGGCCTGGAGTGGCCACACCCACACCATCACACTGCTCTTCGTAGTGAAGCTGAGTACAGTTTTATTTCAGATTTGGAAAGAATATCAGTTTCTGTGAGAGAAAATCCAATTTAAAATATTTAAACATTTCTGTGTGTAGAAAGAAGAGTAGAATAATTACTCCAGTAAGTTCTCCTCGCTAGGCCGGCTTCCCCAGAGCGGCCGCCGGTGACCAGGCTGGGACGGCCAGTGCCCCAGGCCAGGAGCTCAGAGCAGGTCCCACCGAGCAGCGATGCCCGGGCCGCCTACCCTGGCCACGTCTCTAAGCAAACACGGTGGGAGGGGGCAGCCATCTAAGGCAGTGGGTGGGAAAGTGCAGAGAAGGGACAGTGGGTAGCTTAGTGCACCGTGACGGAGCGACGGTTACCACAGATGAGCCGTGGCGGAAGCCTCACTGCGCCTCGCCTGTGGATGCGATGTATCACTGGTCTGGGAATCCTCCCGTCAGTCATCCCCCGTGCGGAGAGGCTGGCGGGCCGGTGGCCTGCACTCCGAGGCTCCAGCAGCGCACCAGGAGGACTGTGGGAGCTGCCTTCTGCCTCCGGCCTGGCCGGCTCTCCCTCACAGCGTTATTCTGCGCGGTGCCTGTGTCCCCGTAAGAAGCCGCAATGGGAGGAGAAATCTCCTGGCGGTTTAATTCGAGGGCAGCGGCTATGGCCTTGGCCCAGGTAGGTGGGGGTGGAGGGGGAGAAGTACCCAGACAGCCTGCACCTCATTAATCCGATTCCCTGCCCTGTGGGCCGTCCTGCTACATCTGAGAGGTTAAAAATAACCGACAACCCAGGACCGGATGAAAGCCAGCCACTTGCCAAACCCTGTCCCTCCCCGGGTCACCTTCTATCCCGAGGTAACCCCACGCCGCCTGCCCGCCCGCCCGCCCGGGATTGCAAAGGAGGGCGCCATGTTCTCCCCGCCTCCCCCTGCCCTGGAAAAGCCCAGCAGAATGCCAGCCCCCAGGCCTGAGCTCCTGAACTCTGGTGGGGGAGGGGAGAACAGATCATCACACAATCCCCCCAGAGCCGGGCCCTCAGAGCTGCTCTCAGCTGCTCAGGAGACAGACCCATGGCCCAGGAAGTGTCATCAGATGTGGCTCCACGCGGCAGGAAGTTTACCTCAAAGAGCTGGGGGTGCCCCCCCCCCCCCGCCCCCCATCCTGCAGTCCTAAGCGGAGCTGACCTCAGCCAGCGCGGCCTGGGGAACAGGCTGGCCCGGACCCGACGGAGGCGTGGCCGTCTGACCACACGCCCTGCGGAGGCCCAGGGCAGGGGCCTGGTCCTCACACCAGTCTGCGAACCCGCACCTCTTTGGTACATACAATGACGGAAGGACGAATGAGGCCGTGAAATCTAGAAATGAATACTATTTGAGTTGGTAAATGCTCTTGCACACACATTCCGGCATCCGGTACTGTTAACCGAATGTCCTTTTTGCGCAGTCTCACACGGCACAGATTCCAGCGTCCTCTGTCACCTAAGCGTTAAAAACGTGGGACGTTCTTCTGAGTCTTCACAACACCCCTGAGGTAGGCGGTATTGACCCCATTCTCGATGGGGAGGTCTAGGCACGGAAAGGTAGTGGCTCCTCGGAGGCCACGGGTCTGTGCTCCGCAGCAGTCCGGCTCCACGTTCGCGGTCCCGGCGCTGGCGCTGCCGCCGCCCTGCGCGGAAGGATCCCACAGACCACGCTCCTGTCTAGTCCAGGTTAAACGAGGGTCTTCACAGCTCTGTGTTTAGGCTCCTACAGACAGCCACTCTCCCTGAACTGGAAAGACAAAGCTAGGACTGACTCTCGGTCGGGACCATCTGCTCTACGTAAGACTCTCCCGAGCCGCCTGCACTGTGTGGCTGTGCGAGCGCCCACAACCCTTTGGAAGCCCGTTTGGGACAATGAAATTGAGAACAGAACATAAAAACCAATAGTTAATAGATTTCAATCAAACATAAAACTACACACTGTGGTAAAGGAAGAACAGACCCCAATTGGCACAGAGCAGCACTTCCCGTGTGACCTGGCCTCGCACACAGCAGGCGCCCAGGAAGAACACATCTCGGACTGCCTGCCACCGACGGCAGCCCCACCGGGGAGACGGGCAGGGGCCCGGGGCACCTGGTGACACAGCGCCGCCTGCCTGGGTGTGGATGCTTCCTTTCTGCCAGGTAAGAGCTGGAGCTGTTGACGCCCAGCCACTCATACAGACAGGTGTGTAAAGAGGATAACCATGTGGAGCGCCTCATCAGGACGTGTCTTTAAAACTGGACAGATGCTCATGGTCCACGGAGGATGGGAATGAGGAGGTTAGGGCTGTGCTGCTCGTGTTCCCGTTAAAATGTGTCTCTAATGCTAGAAGGCCGGGTGCCTACGCCCCTTCCGGCGGAAGAAACCTGATTCTGGGTACGGGGTCCACCTCCCGGGGGGGGGGGGGGGGCTGGTTACAGCCCAAACCTGGCGAGGCCTCACGGGGCCGCTGGGCCCCTGCAGCCCGGCTCGCCTGGCGCACTGCTGACATTGCTATTAATCTGCTCCCAGTTCACCTCATCCTCGTCCCACCTTGATTCAGCCCGAGAACAGACTGCTCAGGGAAGTTGGGGAGGGTCCTTTGGTCCTAAGGCCTCTGACCTTTGGTCTTTGGGGATGTCCCGAAGAGGAAGTGGTGAGTATAAAGTGGTTAAGAAAATCCATCCTGCACCGCGGCCGGCGGAGGCCGTTCTGTCCGGCTGCGCAGAGTGGAGGCGCCGTGGCCCGGGGTCATAGCTCCACCTTGACCCCCTTGATGAAGGGCAGGCCCGTGGGCACCCGCTTCTTGTACTCCAGGTACTCCTCGCCGAAGAAGTGGATCAGCGAGATCTCCTCCTCCTCCGTCCGGTCGCGGAAGAACCGCCACACCGTCAGCGCGTAGCCCACGCCGCAGATGGGGTTGCAGAGCATCACCTGGTGAGGACACGGGCTGGTCAGGGCCGAGAGACCCACACTGTGCGCAGGAGCGGCACCTGCTTGTCAGACCCACAGGACTCCCTGCCAAGGGCCCGACAGACTCTCGAAAAAAGCGAGCTGAGGTGTCTAGCCGGTGTGGCTCAGGAGCTGAGCACAGACCTACAAACCAGGAGGTCACGATTAGATTCCTGGTCAAGGGCACACATCAGGGTGGCAGGCTCATCCCCCGTAGGGGGCGTGCAGGAGGCAGCCGATCCATGATTCTCTCTCGTCATTGATGTTTCTCTCCCTCTCTCTCCCTTCTTCTCTAAAATCAATAAAAAAGTATTTTTATATAAATAATAGACAGATAGGACCAACAACCTTGCAAATACACCGAAGCCCATGAATGGTACACTGTGAACTGGCGGATTTTATGGTAGGTGAATTACATGGCAAATAAAAAAATATGTGAAGAACGCTTAAAGGAGGCCAGGGTGACTGCTGATACTTTACCTGGGTTCCGATACTCCAGTAAAACCAGCCCACGTAAGAAGGGTGCCGGAACCAGGCGTACACCCCGCTCGTCACCAGCGTGTGCGTTTCTGATTTCTCATTCTGCACCACGTGGTTGAAGTTGGAACCGGCCGTAAACATCGCTGCTTTCCTCAGGCATTCTCCGAAGACCACCATCAGCAGGCCCATGGCGCTGAGCCAGGTGACCTGCTTCAGTTCTGAGGGGACACGTGACAAACAGACCTGAGTGCTCCCTGCGGATGCTTACACGAATCTGTTTTTCCAAGACAGGACCCGAGGACCGCGCTGGTTGGGCAATCAGCATTTGTCATCAGGTTAAAGTTTCAGTATAAGCAAAACACACGCCCCTAAGTTGTGCTGTTCATCCATTTAAGGTGCCAGCAACCGGCCCAGCTGGTGTGGCTCAGTGGTTGAGTGTTGGCTCAGGAACTGAGGTCGCTGGTTCGATTCTCAGTCGGGCACATACCAAGCAGGAGGCGTACAGGAGGCAGCCGATCGATGATGTTCCTCTCTCGTTGATGTTTCCATCTCTCGATCCCTCTCCCTCCCTCTCTCTCTAAAAATCAATAAAAATATATTTAAAGGGCCAGCTACCCAGTTAGAGCATCACAGGAAAGAGCTGCTGGGCTCCTGTCCTTCCCCGGAGGACAAGGACCACCAAGGAAGCCCGGCAGGACCCGGTGCTCCCGCTCCGGCCACGCACTGGCTCCTGGAACTCCACTGTGTGGTTAACGAGCTGTGGGAGGGCCACCTGGGAGCAGGCCCCGGGGGCAGTGGTTTTTGCTAATAAATCTCCGTGCGGAATGCCTCAGCCACAGAAAAGCCATGGGTCCGAGTCTCCTCCGACTGCGAAGTCAGGGTGGCAGCCATCAGAGGGAGGGCAGCCATCAGAGGGCGCACCGCGCTCAGCAAGGCTTAGCGCAGAGGTCGCCGTGCCCTCGGCCTGAACACCCAGAAGCGGGCACACAGTCCGGGCCTCTGTAAAGAGCTTAGCGAGGACTGAGGTCAGAGGAAATCACCGGGGAGATTAGATCCGAGAGGGGCCCCCGGACTCACTGCCGTGATGCCTGCGTGGCAGCCGCCCCCTGAGGGGCGGGCAGGCACTGACCTGGCCAGAGCAGGTTCTCCAGGGTGAACTCGACCCACGAGGACAGGGCCGCCACGGTGTACTCCAGGCTGTGGTTCAGCAGGAAGGAGTCCAGGGACAGGCTCTTGGGGTTGTTGACCGCCGTGACCAGGTACTCGGAATAGTGGAACAGGGACAGCGAGCACATGTACCTGTTCACAACCAAGGAGAGAGGGGTGCAACTTGAGTTTTGGGGGAGAAATTTTAAAAAGAGATAGAGGTGAGCGGGGGCAAAGGAATCGCCACCACTCCCAGTACAGGTTCCGGGCTGTGAGATCACCCCCGGGCCTAGGAGGAGGCCCTGCACCCCGTCTGAGGGTGGGCCTCAGGCTCCCATGTCACGCCCTCAGGTTTGCAGTGACTGGCTTTTATGGGTTTTTAAGATTCTTTATCGCATTTATTTGTATCAGAGAGGAGAGCGGAAGAGAGAGAAGATCCATGTGGGTTGGCTGCCTCCTGCACACCCCTTCAGGCATGAGCCCAACCGGCCAGCGCGCAGGAGGCCGCCCACCCAACTGGCCGAGCCACACCGGTGGGGACAGAAGGGGCTTTTAAAGGAACTGCACTTCTGATGCCATAGGCAAAACAAACAAACAAACAAACAAACAAGTGGACAGGAAGGCAAGATGGGTCCTTCAGCCTTTTTAAAATCACACCACACACAGTAAAACATGAAAGTGGGCCCTGGCTGGTTTGGCTCAGTGGATAGAGCGTCAGCCTGTGGACTGAAGGGCCCCAGGTTCAATTCTGGCCAAGGGCACATGCCCGGGATTCGGCCTCAGTCCCCTATAAGGGGCATGCAGGAGGAAGCCAATCAATGATTCCCTCTTATCCTTGATGTTTCTCTCCCCCCCCCCAGCCCACTCTTTTTCTCTGAAATCAATAAAAATACATTACAATAAAAAAGCTTTAAAAAAAAAAGTGGGAACTAGCAAAATAAAGTAGCAATATATGTCAAACACACACACACACACACACACACAAACACAACCAGTTCCAACAACAACGAATGAGACGGATCCGTGCTGATAACAGGAGACAGCGCCCTTTACCTGGAAGCCGGGTGCTTATCTAGGTCAGGCCAGAGGCTCAGGGCTGAAATCAGTGCAGGGAACAGTCCCAGCCTGGCCGTGGGGGGTGCACTAGGTGTGACCTAACAGAAAGGAGAGCCAGGGGCCCCCTCCCCCAGGAGCCACAGCAGCCGCCGCCGCAGGTGTGGGCACCTGTGGGGAGGGTGCCAGGGAGACCTGCTTCCGACCGACCAACGGGCACCAGTGCTCCAGGTCCCAGATGTAGGAACCAGGGCGGAGGCAGACACCTCGCTTCCACAGAACCCTGCCGAGCAGGTGACCCTCGCGGCCGGCAGGCTGAGGCATGGGGCCCGCACAGCTCCCGGCCGGCCAAGGGGAGACACGGGGCGCCGCAATGCCACGACTGCCCTCTGCTCTGCCACCCTGGCCTCAACCCCGCTGCTCCGAGGACCCCCTTACCAGCCAAAGTGATCCCAAGAAGACTGGCTGAAGCTCAGCAGCACCCCGCAGCCGAACACGAAGCCCAGGAAGCAGGCTCGCACGGCGATCTGCAAGAGACCGGAGCCCTCACCGGCCGCTCTGCTCCGGGACCGCGGGCCGGGCTCGCACCCGGTCTGGCTAACAGCCCAGCCCAGCACAGCTGCCGGTGTGGCCGCGGGCAGTTACTTAACCTCTCTGGCCCCCTCTCCCCATCCGTGCCACAGGGATGACAGCAATACCTACCTGTTAGCACTGCGGGAGGACTGCCCGTGAGCGGCACTTAGGAGCACAGGCTAGATAAGTTTCTGCGGCCATTACTAGTGATTGCTGCTATTATCATCCAGGGCTGTGGGGAAGCTGTGACCCTAACTTATTGGGAAGGTTCTCCCGGGTCCCCGCAGCGAGTCCGGGCCGAGCACCGGGCACTGTGCCCGGCCCCTCCACGGAACAGCGGGGCCTCTGACCTCGGACTAGCCAGCGGGCAGGTAGGTGCCCACACCTCAAATTACATAAAAGGACTCGGGATTTTAACCAGACTGGGTGCTCCCTGCTCACCCCCCGCGCCTCCGCCGCAGCTGCCGAACCGCACCAACTGCGTGCGATTCCACACCCGCCCCGCCGGGGGAGGGCCCGGCCCCGCGCCCCTGAGCCCGGCGAGGCCGGTCCCCGCTGCCGCCGGGTGACCCGGCCACGGAGCCCCTCTCCGGGCCCCGCTCCCCGCCCCGGTCCGGCCCCCGAGGGCGCCGCCCGCCGGCCCCCGGCCCCGGCCCCGGCCCCCGGCCGCACCTGGTAGCGCGGCGGCCGGTAGAGCAGCAGCAGCAGCGCGTTGAGCCCGGCCACGTAGAGCGCCAGCGCCGTGCGGCCCTGCAGGCCGGCGCGCGTGAGCAGCGGCAGCGCCAGCACCGAGGCGCCCAGCAGGAAGGCGGCCAGGCTGAGCCGCGCCTCGGAGCCCGGCGGAGCCCGCGCCGCGCAGCCCGCCATGGCGCCGGCGGCGGACAGCGGGCGCGGCGCCGGCCGTAGCCCCGGGAAACCCGCCCGCCGCGCCTGCGCGCCGCGCCGCGCCGCCGACGCCGGCCGGGAGGAGCCGGGGAGCCGCGAGCCGCCGGGAGCTCTCGCGATATCGCCGCGCTGCCGGGCTGCGGCCGGAATTTGGAAGGAGCGCCCGGCTCCTAAGCCACGCCCCTCCCGTAGTCCCCGCCCATCTGGACACGCCCCCTCTCGCGGCCCCGCCCCCGGCCTCCCGGGCCCGCGCGGCGGCCAAGTCCCCGCCGAACTCCAGAATCCCCTGAAACGCGGAGCGACCCCACCCTCGGCGGCCCGCGCACGCCGCCCCCAAAGTCTCACCTGCAGCCGCTCGCGGGGCCGATCCCATCCTCCACGTCTAGGGGTCCGCACGCGGGAACCGGGCTCGGGGGTCCCCACCGGCCCTCAGCAGGGCTCCGACGCGCCCTGGAGCCCCCGCAGCGCCGCCTGGGGCCCTGCCCGTGGGCACCCTCAGCGCGGAGGACCGCCCACTTGGTCGATGGCGGAACAATCAGGATGATGCTACGTTTTTAAAAGGTAGAGATCAGGACTTGACTGTGTGATCTTGATTTCCTTTGGGAACCACAGGATCATTTTTGTGATTTAAAATGATGGAAATAGAAGCCAACATTATGTAACGGCGGTTATCTGCAGGTGGTAAAACTCCGGGCGACTTCGATTTTCTTCTTTATAGGTGTTTGTATTTTCCATATCGCCCACAATCAACTTATAGTACTTTAAAAAAAATTTTTCTTGATTTCAGAGAAAGAGAGACATCAGTGATGAGAATCATCCATCGGCTGCCTCCTGCACACCCCACACTGGGGACCGAGCCGGCAACTCCGGCCTGTGCCCTGACCGGGAATCGAACCCTGACCTCCTGGTTTATAGGTCGATGATGCTCAACCACTGGGCCACGTCGGCCGGGCACCTTATATCACTTTTATGATCAGAAATTGTCTTTTACTTTTTAAAGGGTTAATAGTGCCTCCCCGTCCCCCGGGAGCGAAGAAGCAAGGGTGCAGGAGAAAGGCATGTCCACAAAGGACAGAGAGCCTGTGGGGGGTGGGAGTGGGGAGGCAGCAGGTAAGGACGAGAGAGAGGGACCCCGGGGAGGGGGGAGGGGAGGGCCGCGGGGCAGAGTCTGCCTGGAGGAGACGCTGCCACCAGGTCGTGGGGCCCCTGGGACCTGGCAGCCCGCCTGCCGCTGGAAAAGAGAACAGGGCGTCTAAGGGTAGGAGGGGGGTGGCACCGCGGCGGGATAGGGGACAGGCCCCAGGGGAGTGGGAGCCCGAAGTCCTGGGCCAGACGTCGCTGAGGCCGGGCGGGCTGTGAGCTGCCATCATCCGGGTCCCACTCTCCTCTGTGCCCACAGGACCCGGCGGGACGCCTGGTGGGTTGGCCGCTGGGCTCAGGGAAGGATGGAACCGGTGCTGGAACCCGGGCCCAGGGCTGCTGCGGTCCAGGGTTGTGACCTCGGGCAAATCAACTCTCACAGTTTGTGTAAAATGTTTCTGTAAAAACCAGGGGTCCTGATTTTACAGGCCTAATGCTATGTTCATGTGGTGCTCAGAAGACAGGTGCTAAACTCGGTTGGTCAGAATTAAAAGTTTTATTTATTTATTTTTAAAATATATTTTATTGATTTTTTTACAGAGAGGAAGGGAGAGAGATAGAGAATTAGAAACATCGATGAGAGAGAGTCATCGACCAGCTGCCTCTTGCACACCCCCTGCAACCATGCCCCTGACCGGAATCGAACCCGGGACCTTTCAGTCCACAGACCGACGCTCTACCACTGAGCCAAACCGGTTTCGGCTAGAATTAAAAGGAGTTTTAATGCTTTAAAATCCAAAGTCGGCCGGCGCCACGTGGGAAGGAGGCCTGGGTTTATGTTGAACCCCTCTCCTGCCTCTGCCCCAGTTTATCAAGGTCTCCCCCAAACTCAGGACTTCCCCTCGGTGCCAGGAAGTCATGAGGCCACTAGGGGGCGCCCATTTCATCTTCGGTCCAGGGGGTGAGTCTGGCCCTGGATTCCCCCGGGGCCATCCCCACGCTAGGGGCACAGAATAATGTGACTCACATTGGAGGGCCTCCCCTCTCCTCTGCCCATCACTGTCCCTAAACCCTACAGCCCCGCCCCAGAGAAGTTGAAAAGAAAGGGGGAGCAGTCCCCTCCTGCATGGGGCCAGTCAGAGAATTTCTAAAAGTCACTGGAGTGGCTTAACTTATCAGGGCCCACGGGCCCGTGACGGAGGAGAAAGCAAAGCAAATGTATTCACACTGACACTGACATCGGCCCAGAGAGATACACACAGACACACAGAGAAACAGACAGACACACAGACACACAGAGAAACAGACAGACACACAGGGATACACACAGACACACAGAGAAACAGACAGACACACAGACACACAGAGAAACAGACAGACACACAGAGAAACAGACAGACATATAGAGAGACACTCAGAGAAACAGACAGACACACAGAGAGACAGACACACAGAGAAACAGACAGACACACAGAGACACACAGAGAAACCGGCAGACACACAGGAATACACACAGAGACACACAGACACACAGAGATACAGACAGGAACACACACAGAGATATACACAGACACCCAGAGATACACACAGACACACAGAGAAACTGACAGACACACAGGTATACACACAGACACACAGAGAACAGACAGACACGCAGGGATACACACAGAGAAATAGACAGACACACAGAGAAACAGACACACAGACACACAGAGAAACAGACACAGAGAAACAAACAGGAACACACAGATACACACAGTCATACAGAGAAACAGACAGGAACACACACAGAGATATACACAGACACACAGAGATACACACAGACACACAGAGAAACTGATACACAGAGAAACAGACACACAGGGATACACACAGACACACAGAGAAACACACAGACACACAGAGAAACACACAGACACACACAGACTGGCTTTCCCTCCGGGGGGGAACGTGATCTCACACACTCACCCTGCACCCAGCGCCCCGGGTCACCCCCAGCCCACAGAAAATAGAAGAAAATGCAGGAAAGCTGCTCAGCCCCAGGACGCCCGCTGGCCTCTTGTAAATAAGCATTTGAATGTGTTTTGTTCTAAGCTGCGGCCGGCACAAAGGGCGCTCTTCCTCCTGCAGGAGGGCCCTCCCTCCGCCCTCTCCTCCGGCCGCCCGCCCGCCAGCGGGGGCGGCTCCGTCCTCGGCCCCAGCCGGGGTCCCTCTGGTTCAAAAGAGCCCTAAGAACCACTTGACTTCTCCCCGTTAACCTGCAGGCTGAGATGAAAGTAGGTTCCCTTTCTTCAACAGATTACTAGTTCTTTTTTAAAAATATATTTTATTGTTGTTTTTTTACAGAGAGGAAGAGAGAGGAGTAGAGAGTTAGAAACACTGATGAGAGAAACATTGATCAGCTATTTCCTGCACACCTCCTCCCAGGGATGTGCCCGCAACCAAGGTGCATGCCTTTGACCGGAATCGAACCTGGGGACCCTCCCGTGGGTAAGCCGATGCTCTGTTCACTGAGCCAAACCGGTCAGGGCAAGGATCACTAGTTGTTGAGCAAGAGAGAGTGAGGTGGAGCAGGGAGCTGCAAGGCTAGGCCTTACCCAAGCACCTCAGCCCACATCAAGCTTGGCACCAAGTAGGAAAACGTCAGGGAGGCGGGCCTGCCCCCCACTGTGTGTGCGGGTCCCCGGTCATGGCTGTCACTCACAGGCTCCTCCAGTTCCCTCGGGAAGGTGGCGTGAGGCTGTCCAGAGTGGCTGCAGCCCTGCGGGGGCGGGGATCCCTTGGACCCCGAAAGTTTCCTCTTCCCGCCCTGGGCCATTCCGGCCTCCAGGTACTGGCGCCTCCTTTCCCTGGTCTGGAGACGGTAAGTGCTGGTAATTTACGAGCACATCAGCGGAGTGCAGAAGTCAGGCCGCACAAAGCACCGGGTAAATATTTAAAGATCGGAGCCACAAAGGGGAGCGGCACAAAGGCCGGGACAATGGCTCTCCGGAATGCTCTCCCAGGGCCGGCCGGCCAGCGCAGGGTCCATGCACTCGCCGCGGTCCCAGCCTTTGTGCCTGGAGGACCCTTGACGGCGAGCTATTGGGAGCCCCAAGCAGCTAAAGGGAGTCAGACAATCGCAGCCTCTCCAACCCCATCCGGAGACAATTGGCTGAGTCATTCCAGCGCTTTCGCTGTGTCCCCAGAGTTAATTACTTGGAGCAATCCCTCCATTCCGCTTTGAAATGCATCTGCGCGGCCGGGGCCTCCCCCCAAAGTGGCCTTTGCAGCACTCACCCGTGATGGGGAGGAGAGGGAGCGGGCCTGGGCTGCTGGGGGGAAGGGGTTCCCGCCAGGCAGGAGGTGCCCAGGCCTGCAAACCCCTCCCCACCTCGTGTCCACACCTGACTCGGTCTGCAATTTTTATTTATTTCTCTACCTATTTATCTATTCGCTTGTTTACTTATCTACTTATTTGTTTTTGTTGTTGCCGAAGTCAAGAAGGCCAGCCCAGCTGGCAAGGGTCAGTGGTTGAGTGTTGACCTCGGAACCAAGAGGTCACAGTTCCATTCCTGCTCAGGGGATGTGCCCAGTTTGTGGGCTCCATTCCCAATGGGGGCGCGTGCAGGAGGCAGCTCATCAATGATTCTCTGTCGTCATTGATATTTCTCTCTCTCCCTCTCCCTTCCTCTCTGGAATCAATAAAAAATATATTTTTTAAAAGTCAAGATAGCCTGGCCGGTTTGGCTCAGTGGATAGAGTGTCGGCCTTTGATCTGAAAGGTCCCGGTTCGATTCTGGTTCGATTTGGTTTCTGGCACATCCCCGGTGTGCAGGAGGCAGCTGATGCTTGTTTCTCTCTCATCGATGTTTCTGATTCTCTATCCCTCTCCCTTCCTCTCTGTAAAAAAGTCAATAAAAATATCTTTTTAAATCAATAAAATATATTTAAATAAATAAATAAACGTCAAAGCCAGCTTTAACCGGTTTGGCTCAGTGGATAGAGTGTCGGCCTTCGGACTCCAGGATCCCAGGTTCGATTCCAGTCAAGGGCACGTACCTTGGTTGCGGGCACATCCCAAGTGGGGGGTGTGCGAGAGGCAGGTGATCGATGTTTCTCCCTCATCCATGTTTCTCTCTATCCCTCTCCCTTCCTCTCTGTAAAAAATCAATAAAAATCAATATATATATTTTAAAAGTCAAGAAAGCCAAAGGGGAGAAAGGAGGGCAGAGACCCCGTGCTCTTGGCCTTCCACGCCCAGCGTGGGGAAGCAGGCCCCGAGCGGCGCCTCAAGCTACCGAAGGACTGTGCTCCCTGAACGAGCAGGCAGCCTCGGCCCTCCCCACCCCCAACCCCACGCGCGGCCTGGACCCGGATCCCAAAGACCAAGGGGCTGCTGGCCCACACCCCCGCTTGCAGGAGCCCGGCCTAAGGTGGCCCAGCCTTTCGCTTTGTCCCGAGTGCAGTCTGAGAGGACTTGGGGTGAACCCTGGCGCACCCCCACTTCGGAAACGCCTCCCCCGCCACTGCGCGCCTCGCGGGCCAGGCCTGCGGGGTGTGCGTGGGCCTGGCCAACAGCCAGGAGACGGCGGAATGGAGCCCCAGCCCGGGGTGGGGTGGAGACCCGTTTAGGACCCTCTCCCAGGGCGTCCCTCTAACTTAGCCGGGAAGTGGCTGCCCACAGGAGCCCGAATTGGGGTCCAGTGGGGGAGGGGTGGGGGGCGCTGTCTGCGAGCCCCGAGTCTAGGGGAGGGGAATGGGGAGAGTAGATGGATCAGCCCAGGCGGCAGGACCCCCGGCGAGAGGGCCCAGAGGGCGTGCGGAGGGCGGGGTGCGGGCTCGGCGGGCGCGCCCTCTGGGGATAGAGGTAGGGCTGGAGTGGGGGTGTGGGGGTGTGGAGGTGGGGGTCTGGGGGGGTATGGGGGTGTGGGTGAGGGGGGGTGGGGGTCGCTGTCTGCAAGCCCGGAGTCTAGGGAAGGGAAGCGGGGAGAGTAGATGAGGGCTCAGCCCTGGACCCCGGCGAGAGGGCCTGCGGAGGGCGGGGTGCGGGCTGGGCGGGCGCGCCCTCTGGGGGTAGAGGTAGGGCTGGGGGGGTGTGGGTGTGGGGGTGGGGGTGTGGGTGTGGGTGGGTGGGGTGGGGTGGGGCCGCGGCGGCTCGGATGGGGAAAGGGCGGAGGCGGGTCTGGAGCCCAGACGCCCGCCGCCGGCCTCGCCCCGGCAGCCTGAGCAGAACGTTGCGAACTGGAGCATTTTGCGGTCAATTTTCCACCCGTTAGGCCCCTGAACCGCCCCCGTGAGCAGCCGGAGAGGGAGCCGGCCGGGGCGGGGGGACCGGGGCGGGGACGGGGGCCCTAACTGGAGGGGGCGGCCCCGCTCCCGCCGCGGCCGGAGGGCCCGCCGCGGGCCATGGGGTTGCTAATGGCCGAGTTGAAAGGCGCGGCGGCGGCTCCCGGGCGGGCGGTGATGGAGGACAAATTGCCGCGGCCCGGGAGCGGCGGGGGGGCGGGGGGGGGGGGGGGGGGGGGGGGGGGGGTCGGGGAGGGGGGAGTGCGGGGTGTGGGGGGAGGGGTGCCTGGGAGAGGCGGGGGGGAGTGAGGGGTGTGGGGGGAGGGGTGCCCGGGAGCGGAGGGGGAGGGGCGGCGGGGGGCGGGGGGGCGGCGGGGACGGGGCGCCAGGAGAGGCGCGCGCCGGGTCGGGCAGATGTGCGGCAGCTGGAGGCCTGCGCGGCGGGGCGCCCGGAGCTTGGCCCGGAGGGGGCGCGGCTCGGTGGGGCGGCACAAAGCCCTCCACGCCCGGCTGCTCGCTTTGTGCCGCCGCCCGCCCTCCCCGCCCGCCGGGGCGCCTGTGCGCCGTCACCGCCCCGGAGCGCGAGGGGGAGCCGGGAGCCGGCGCTTCAAAGCCGCCCGGCGCGTGCCAGCGCCTGCGTCCCGCCTGCCCACCGCGCCCAGCCCGGCCCGGATCCGGCGGGGGTCCCTGCGGCCCGGCGGCCCTGCGGCCCGGCGGCCCTGCGGCGCGGGCGGAGAGAACCCTGAGCAGCTGTCGCTGCAGCTTCGGTCCGAAAGGAAGGCCGGGCGCCCTTCTCCTCCCGCCTGCGCCTGGGAGCCGGGCTGCCCGCCGGGCCTTCCACATCTCAGGGCGGGGCCGGCGGGGAGAGAGGCCCCGCTGGAGGGAGCTGGGGGGCCACCCCCCAGGCGGAGCTCTGCGCAGGCCAATGTGTCCATCCCTCTGCCGCGGGCTCCACTGCGGAACCACAGTGCACAGACACTGAAACAGGCTGAAACAGGCTGGGTCCAGGAAAGGGAGCTGCTTGTGTTCGAACCCAGTGTCTCCCACAGACCTCAGCCTTCCGGTCAGCCTCAGCCCCTGCGGGCCTGCTCCTGGGGCCAAGCCCAGGCCTGCCCGAGTCCTCGCGGGCCAGCCACCAGGCAGGCCCTCCTTCCCTGAGCTCCGTGGTGTCGGAATAATGAGAAGAGGCTGGGGTCTCAGACCTGCAGAAGCGCAATGACGCTCCCCCAGGCGGGACAGGTTCTCGGAGCCTGAGTCTCACCTGCCCCCGCAGCCCGCAAACCCCGAGGGCGGGGTGGGTGGGGGGAGGCTGGGCCCTTCGGGCGGGCTGCACGCTCTAATGGGACACATGTCCCTGAGCGGCCCCTGGGGCCCGGCCTGCGCCGGCTTTGAGCTGCCACAGGCAGAAAATTGCTGCATTGTCCGGGCATTAGGCCACCACGGCCGGAGCGTTAAGCCCCTGGGAGGCCTGGCCGCGTGCTCCGGCCTCCGCATCTTCATCAGATCTCCTCAGGCCGAGGCCCGGCTCTGTCACAGGCGCTGGCAGGGCTCAGAGCTGGCTGGGCCCGCGCACCCCCAGTGCGACCCCAAGAACACTCAAAGGCAAGAGCAGCAGGAAGAGGCAGGCGGGCCTGGTGGAGGGGCCCAGAGCTTGGGGACACTGGGAAAGGACAGTCATGGGGGGAACGGGCCTGGAGGGGCCCCCAGATGTGGGAAGCGGTGGGATGAGAGGGATAAGGGAAGACTGGGGCAGGGGAAGAGGGTTGCGGGGGGAGGGCGGAGAGGCCCTGGGGCAGAGCTGAAGCCTGGGCGGCGGGGAGTGGGGGGGGGAGGGGCAGGGGGAGGTGGGGAATTCACTCCGTGTCCCCCTCTCTTCCCCTCCCACTCAGGGGTCCTGGAGCCCCTATTGACATGTAAACGAGGGGCCCCTATAAAGGCTGAGCCGCCTCCCTCGGGGCACGTACGTGACAACATGGGCACTGAGCCCGGGCCCCAGGGCAGCTCTGGGGGCCCTGCGGGCAGATTCCGAAAGGTGGGGGTGCTGAAGAGCTCGGGGTGGGGGCTCTGCCCGCCGGCAGGGGCAAAGGGCGAGAGGGCCTTGAGCCCGCCCTCTAACGGCCCCTGGTCCGCAGATCTCCAAGCCGCTGATGGAGAAGAAGCGCCGCGCGCGCATCAACCTGTCGCTGGAGCAGCTGCGGGCGCTGCTGCAGAAGCACTATTCGCACCAGGTGAGCCCGGACCGGTGGCGGGTGGCGCGATCCACCCCTCGCCCCTCCGGCTGCGGGCTCCCCGCTGAGAGCCCCCCCCGACCCCCGCCCCCCAGATCCGAAAGCGCAAGCTGGAGAAGGCAGACATCCTGGAGCTGAGCGTCAAGTACATGAGGAGCCTCCAGAGCTCCGTGCAAGGTAGAGGGGCCTGGGAGGCTGGGCGTGGGGAGCCCTGGTCCCCCAGGGCCAGATCGCAGAGGAGCGGGGGGAGAGGAAGGCGCAGGGAGGTTTGGGTAGCAGAGGAAGAGGAAGCGCAGGGAGGGGCCGCCGGGTGAGGCGGGGCCAGACCACTGGCGGCGGGAGGCAGCGGAGGCCAGCGGGCTGCGGAGTTGTAATCCTAGTGGAAGGCGGTCTGGACGTTCAGGCGGCCTCGCCTCCCGCCCGTCCCTGCTCTTCCTTCCCCCTCCCCGCTTCTCCCCTCCCTTCCTCCCTCTTCTCTACAACCCCCCCTTTTCCTCCTCTTCCCCCTCCCCTCCCCTCCCCTCCCCTCCCCTCCCCTCCTCTCCCCTCCCCTCCCCTCCCCTCCGCTCTCCTCTCCCCAGGGCTCTGGCCGGTCCGCAGCGGCGCCGAGTACCCGCCGGGCCCCCGCGGCTGTCCGGCGGGCGTCAGCCAGCCCCGGCGGCGCGGGGAGGACGGCGGCGGGAGGACGGCTCCGCGGGGGCCGGCGCGCGCGGCGGGCAGCACCATGGACAGCGCCGGCCCCCGCCCCGAGGCGCCCGCGCGCTGCGGCCCCTGCGCCCCCGCCACGTGGGCCCCTGATCCGGGTGCGGGCCGCTCGCGGGGCCCGCCACCCCGGCTCCTCCTCCCCGGCGGCCTCCCCGGCCCGTCCACCGACCTCCCGGCGCCGCAGCCGGCGCCCCGTCACTGCGCCCAGAGCCCGGGGCCCGGGCTGCGCCTGTGGCGGCCGTGGTAAGGCCCAGGCGTGGCCTCGGACTCCGGGGTCCCCCGTCCGGTCTGCGGCGCAGACACAGCTTGGGGCGCGCCCGTGGGACCACCCGGACCTCAAACGTCCGTCCCGCCCCGCGGGGAGGGTGGCCGGGGGGTGCCCCGTGCCCGAGGGAGCGCGCAATGAGACGCGCGGAGCCTCGGTGGACCCGGGTCTGCGCTTCTAGGCAGCATCTGCCCCGGCCCCGGCCTCACCTGCTCAGGCAGGACCTGCGCTCTCCTTCTCCCGCCCGAAGGGGCCGGGGCGGTGTCCTGGGCGCCCCTCCCCAGGCCCCGGCGGCAGCCCGCCCAGTCCCGTGGCCGCGCGGTGGGAAGGCCGCGCCGGCGGCGCGCAGAGCAGACCCCTCGCGGCGAGGAGAATCGCGGCCCCGCCCCGGCCCATTCAGCCGCCTGGGGTCGCCCGGTTCCCACCGGAGCAAAGGGCGAGGGGCCCCAGCAACCCCCGCCCCGAGCTTCTCTGCTCCCACGGACCCCACCCCTCCGCGCGCAGCCCCCTCGGAGCTCCGCCTCGGCCGCGAGCTGCTCGCCCACCGCCCCAACCACCCGGCGCCCTGCCCGCGCGGCTCCGGGGGCCCAGCGCCGGGCCGCGCCTATTTGAGGGGGGCTGGGAGGAAGCTCCTCTCCCGGGAGGGCCCCCTTTCCCACTCGGCACGGACCCCGGCCCTGGCTCCGCAGAGCCCCGCCTCCGGGTTCTGGGCCGCCCAGAAGCCTGCATCCTCCCACAGCCCCCGGAGGGCTGGCACCTGTTCCCCGGGTCCCAGCGCGCGAGGGGGGCCTGGGGTGGGGGATGGGGTTCTCGGGCTGTGCCCAGGAGGAGATTCTGACACCTCCTCCCCCAGTTTGAAATAAATTCAGAATAAAGACAGTGCGAACCTGAGAAATGGGCTCTCCTCCATCCCACGCGGCCCACCGAAGTGCAGCTTTTTGAATTGCAAATAGCAACTTTGTCTAAAATTGTTCTCCTTTTAGGCTGCCCCTGTGCTGCTCCTGTGCTAAAAACCCACACAGGTCAGATCATAGCCGGGAGAGCGCGGCCGGGCCCCCCACCCCAGCCAGCCGCGTCTCGGGGCGAAGGTGGGGGCGGGGTTCCGGGCTGTAGGGGTTTGGGGGCGGCCTGTCCGGGTCTCGGTTTCCCACCTTCCTCCATGTGGCTGGTGACCCCAATACCTCCTCCGGACACCAGGTGGCGATCTCGCATCGCAGACCCAGGAAGCGGCTTCCAAACCCCAGCCTGGGCCAGGGGTGTGGTCCCCCGACACTCTGTGTCACATCCCGTGCCACATCCCGTGCCAGTAAGAAGGGGCAAGCCCAACCCTCAAGAATGCCGCTGGTAGAGGAATTCGAGAGACAGGTTTGGGGGCAGGCGGCCAGGTGGGTGCTGTTAGATCCTAGGGAGGTGTTTCCGTGAAACCAGCATAGAAATGCGAGGTGCAAACCCCAGGAGGTTTTATTGGGTCTGTACAGAGAGAATGCTTAGTTGTCAAAAACCAAAAAAACCAAATGGATCCCTGGCTTTGGGCTGCGGGGGTGGGGGGGGGGGGTGTGTGTGTGGGTGGGTATGAAAACAGAACCCTCCCCCTTAAGCCCAGGGTCAGGCTGCTGTCAACGCAGCCAGGGGGCCTGGGGCCGCACAAAGGATGAGAGGGATCCTGCCCCCAGGGCCCTGTGCTTGGGGTCCTCCCTCTTATTTTTGTAAAAACCAGGAGTAGAGAGACTCTGGGGTGCCAGGCCCCCCCTGTAAGTATTGCTGCTGGATAGGAAAGTGAAAACCCCAAGGTGACCAATGGGCCAGCCTGAGGGGGGAGTGGCTAGCCGACGACCTCACGATGGGTCAGTCCTAGAAGGCACGCAGTACTGGCCGGGCTGGACAGCAGTCCCCTGCCTTGCTCGCCCGTGGCCACCTCAGGGGCCTCGAGGCAGAGATGGAGCCAGGCAGTCCCTCTGTCCTCTCCCAGGGGCCTCCTCTGGGGCCGGGCCCAGTCTGGGGTGTGCGGAGGGAGGCCTGGCCCCAGGAGGGGCAGGGGCAGAGCGGAGGGAACGTGAGCAGGCAGGCTCCGCGCTGGCCCGCCCCTGCTCCAGGCTTCCTTTGTCCGGGCCGCTGCATGAAGGCCCGGCCAGGGCGAGGCAGCCTCTGCACTTGCCCTGTCTGTCACCCAAGGTCACAGCTGCCCGGGCCTCTCCTCAGCCTGTGGCCAGGGCTTCCCCCATGCGAAGCCCAGGCCTGCGAAGGGTCTGCCAGGAGGGAGAGCAAAGAGCCCTGTTCACGGGGGTGGGGGACCCCGGTCAGAAGCCAGGCCTTAACCCCAGAGCCTGGGAGGCTGTGGGCCACACCTGTAGGGCGGGGGACGGGCAGGGCAGAGTAAGGAAGCCCACTCCTTCGCTTCAGTCTGTCCCACCAGGCACCCACGCTTCCGGGTGGTAGTCAGAAGTGGCCACCGTGTGGGGACAGGCAGTGAGGACGTAACAGTGGCGGGTGTGTGTGTGTGTGTGTGTGTGTGTGTGCTAATGGTGAGGAGGTGTGCGTTGTGCTTTAGTTGGGTGTGGGGTGAGTGCCCAAGGGGCCAGGGCAGGGAGCAGGACGCCGCAGGCCTGGGGCCCCAGCCCGAGACTGCCTCCCTGCCCTGTGCGCTCCGTGGTCGGAGCGTCGGGACCAGCACTTCTTCGTCCTGAGAGTGACCTGGCCACCTGCCTCTCGGGGGGGACGCAGAGGCAGGACCGGCAGGGAGGCTGCTCTGAGCTGGGACTTGGGCCCGAAGACCCTGTGCTTAGACCTCCGCGCCCACCGCAGAGGCGGGACGGGTCAGTGCCGGGTGGAGAGCGGCGGTCGTGGCTCCCCTTCCTGCAGAGCGGGGCTCTCTTCTGTCTGGGGGTGTCCTGTCCGGGGGCTCCCCTCCTGGAAGCGCTGGGCACGTGCAGAGCCTCCTTTGCCCAAGCCCAGTGACCAAGGGCCCAGCCCCGCAGCCAGGTCAGTGTCCCTCCGCGCAGCGACCACATCATCCATCATCCCGGGACAATGCTTCGCCCCAGGCCCGGCCCTGCCCCGAGCCTGGGGGCAGCGGGCATCTTTGGTGCTTTGGCCCCGGGGCGGCCTAGGTCGCCGAGCCCAGCGAGTCCGAGTGCAGCGTGACGTAGCCCGAGGACTCGGACGGCGAGCTCAGGACGCTGCTGGCGCTGCCGCCGCCGCCCGCCGCGCGCAGGCCCGCGGGCTCGGCCCACGACGCGCTCGGGACCCTCTGCAGGGGCCGCGCGTGCGCATGCGCGGCCGGGGGCGGCCCGGGACTGCGCTGCGCGCCGGGGCCGCCAGGGGGCGCCGCGTCCTCGCCGGGCGCGGCGGGACCCGGGGCCGGCGGGCGGCGCAGGGCCTGCGGCTCCCGCTCGAAGGCCGTCAGCGCGAAGGCCTCGGGCAGCCGCGAGGCGGAGGCGGCGCGGGCGCCGGGCCCGGGGCGGCGCGGGCTGCCGGGGCGCCGCGGCGGCGGCAGGCTGTCGGCGGAGCGGCGGCGGGGGCGGAACGGGGGCGCGTCCTGCGGGGCCCGCGGGCCGTCGCGGCGCCGGGGCGGCCCCAGGGCGGCCAGGGTCTCGCCGGAGCCCCAGCGCGGCAGGAAGGCGGGCAGCACGGCCCACAGGCCCGCGTCCTCGTGCGAGAAGCGCCGCGCGGGCGGGACCTGCGGGGACGGCGGGTTAGCGGGTGCCGCTAGCAGGCGGGCCCACGGGGGCAGGGCGCCCGTGGGTCAGCCACGACCCATACCTGACCTCACACCTGACCTCTAAGAGCAGGTGCCAGTCCCTCTGAGGCCCAGAGTCCACCTGAGTGGTGAGGACACCCCTGGATTGGGGCACCGAGCCCCAAGGGAATACAGGCGCCGGGCGGACACTCCGGAGCCCCGGGGACGGGGCAGGGCCCAGGGTGCCCCCGCACAGGTCCCCCTCTGGCTGCCCGGCTGGAGGTGCAGCCACCGGGGCTGGCAGGCTGGAGAGGCGCTCAGAGGGGAGAGGCCTGGGACCAGGGACAGGATGCCCGCCCGCCCCTACCTGCAGGTACTGCATCTTGTCCTCCTGCAGGGGCGCCAGCGGGTAGAAGTGGGGCAGGCCCCCCTCCAGCGGCAGCTCATAGCTGGCCATGGGGTCCAGGGCCACGAAGTCGCCCCCGCAGCTGTAGTCCAGGGAGCGCTCCAGCACCAGGTCCTGGGGCAGGCCCCCCTCCAGGCTGGTGTCTGCAGGGCGGGTGAGGCTTAGGGTCAGGGGTCAGAGCAACCCGAGGGTACCGGAAAGCCAGCCCACGGTCCCCACAGGCACACACAGGGCAGAGGGCTGGTTCGGGGGGAAGAGGAGGGGCAGGGTCCTGGGTACAGATCCTGATTCCCCACCTTTTCCAGCTGTGGAGCTGGGGCTGGGGCTGGGGAGCCATTTTCTTGTCAGTGGGGGTGCGGCCTCAGGGCTTAAGTACCCACAAGGGGCTGACCGTGCCTGGCATATAGCAGGGTCTTGGCTGAGATGTTCGGGGATGTTTGGGGCTGACAGTGGGACCTCAGTGCCAGGGGTGGCCGCCTTACCGTTGTTATCCCAGTGACTCCAGGGACCGCCCCCAGGTGCCCCCTCCTCAGGGGCCCTCTGGGGTCCTCACCGTCGTCCGAGTCCTCGCCGTTGGCCATGAGGGCGGCGCACTTCTCCCACACGGCCCGCAGGTCGGCGCGGTAGCGGGCGCAGGCCCAGAGGAACACCGGCAGCAGCAGGGCCTGGGCCACCGAGCACCACAGCACGCACAGCACCATCCAGGGCGCCACGGCGTCCGCCCGCAGGCTGCTGACGCTCACCACCTGTGGGCACAGGCTCGCCTGGCACCGGCAAGACCCTCCACCGCTTCCCCTCCCAGACTGTCCTCCCGTCTGCGCCCGCCTGCCTGTCTGCGCCCGCCTGCCCGAGGGAGGGGGTGGTGGAGACAGCGCCAGACTCCGGGGCAGGAAGGAGGCAGAGGGTGAGGGCGGAGTCCCTGCCTGAGAGCTGCTGGCTGCCATGGTACAGGCACAGCCCAGTGTGCCTGGCCCCGCGCCATGTGCCAGCAGCCTGGGCAGCCTGAGGACAGAGGGTCCCACTTCCTTTCTGGGGGGAGGAGACGGGCTTGGAGAACTAGGTTTCCAGCCGCCCAGCTCGGGGACCGTTCTGTCCTGCTCACTCCTGCCCTGGCCTCCTCGGCCCTGCCCTGCTCGGGGGGTGAGGCCACAGGCGCAACTCCCCAGCAGACGTCCCACGCCTGAGGGCCAAAGCCTCACTCCGCACAGCCTAGGGCCTGGAGCCGGGACCCCATTCCCTCCTGCGGCCCTGACTGGGCCCCACTCAGCTGGGAAAGTCCGGCCATGTGGCAGGAAGGCCTGGGCTGAGACGTCCCTGAGGTGTCCCGCCATGTCCCTCTCTGAACCTTGTTCCCCAGGCCTTTAAGTGAGGATGGGGATAACACCCCCCCCCCCCCAGGATCGGGTGTGAGGACCCAAGCACCTAAAGCCCGCAGTGCACCTGCCCGGCTCACCCACCAGCACGGGAAAGCCCATGAGGCAGTCGTAGATGAAGACGATGGCGGCCACCAGGCCGGTGACCTGCAGCGAGGTCCTGGCGGGCTCGGAGCCCTCGATGGAGGAGCGGCGCTTGCCCTGCGCATCCTCCACCACGATGGCGGGCACCGTGAAGGCCCGGCGGCCCGCCCGCGCGGCCAGCGTCTGGAAGAGGGCGATGGCCGTGCACACGGCGCCCACGGCCACGCTGCCCCCCACCAGCAGCAGGAAGCAGACGCCGAAGCCCAGGCCGATCTCGGCCGCGATGAAGCGGCAGCCATGGGTGTAGAAGCGCTCCCTCGTGTCGTGCCAGCCGACGGCGGGCAGGGCCGCCAGCACGAAGGACACCATCCAGATGCCCATGACCGTGTGCACCGCCTGCTTCTTGGCGTTGCTGAGCCTGGCATGGGGGGGTGGGGCAGAGGGAGCCGTGTCACTCACCAGGCCTTGGGGCGCCAGGGCCCCCGCTCCCCCGCCCGCGCCCGCACCCACGGGGCTCACCTGTAGTTGACGGGCCAGCGCACCATCCACATGCGGTGGTAGGACAGCGAGGTGACGGAGAAGCAGGTGGCCAGCGTGAGCGTGTAGAAGGTGGACACGAAGACCTTGCAGAGGCCCTCGTTCCACTCGTAGCCGGGCCGCTGGCGCCGCAGCTGCACCACGGCGTAGGTGGCGATGGGCACCGCCACGTTGAGCATGTGCGTGGCCGCCAGCGCACACAGCAGGAACTCCAGCGGCTTCCACTTCTTCTGCGTGGCGCCCACGCTGAGGATGCCCCACGCGTTGGCCAGCAGGGAGAGGCCCCCGCACGCCAGCCAGCCCACGGCGCTGCCCGGCGGCCGCTGCTCCTCACTCATGGCGCTGGGGCATCCTCCTGGCTCACAGCCCGAGGCCCGGGGGCACCAGGGACCAGGAGCACCTGCGGAGCGGGGAGGGGCGGGGGGGACAGTGAGGCTCAGCGGCTCTCCCTGTGGCTGCAGGGTCCTGGGGAGGAGAGGGGAGGTGCCCAGGTGCCATCATGTTGGCCCGGCTTGGGTTGGGCTGCTCTCGCTGTGGCCTTCTGCCTGTCCCCGGCCCCAGGGCCATGGGGAGGTGCCTGATAAGTGCGGGTTCCTCCCTTCCAGCCACTCCTTCCAACCACCTGTGCCCTCAGGGAGCCAGCAGCTGGCTCAGACGGGCACTCTTGCCAGCGCCCTGGCCCTGGCTGGCAACAAGCCCTCTCGCCAGCAAACGCCCCAGATCCCAGGGCAGCCCTGGCAAGGCCTTCACTGTGCCTGGGAGGCTGAGTCCCCTCAACCCCTGTGCGAGGGAGGGGGGACAAGGCCCCATGTTCCAGCTGCTGATTCCAGCGAGGTCCCTGCACCACGGCCTACGCCGCCCCAGGACAAGACTTCTTCCCGGAGGGCACGTCTTACGCGGTGGGTGCTCGGGGTGGAGGCAGTCACGTCACAGACGCCTTCGGCGCAGTCCAGGGGTAGGCCCGGATGCAAGAGGAACTGCCGACGGCCTGGATGTGAGCCGGGAGAAAGGATGGTGGCCGGAGGCATGTGTCTGGAGGCGCAGTGTCTGCCGGAGGGAGGGCTGGGCAGGGTCCCTCCCTCCCCCTTGCCAGCCCACAGCCCTCAGCTGCCTCCCGTGGGGAGTGCTGGCCCCGAAGGCCCTCTGGCACAGCGGGGAGCAGGCAGCGCGGGAGAAGCAGCCGCTGCCTGAAGGCCCACTGTGCGCTCCGCCTACGCTTGGCCCTTCTCCCCCGGGAGCCTGATGGCCCACACCTGCGGGTGCCTCCTGTACCCCACACATCACGTGACCCGCAGGGCCTGGCCCAGCTTGGGAGGGAGGGACAGGCCACTGCGGGCCCCCAGCATGGGCTCGGGGCAGAGGGCACGCCTCCGGCCGCCAGGCTGCTCTGGTCGGGCTGTGGCTGAGCCCAGGACCCTGAGGGACCTGAGGGGTGTATCCCCCCCGTTGTGGTGTCTCTGTGGGCCTGCCCCAGCCCCGGCCCAGCGGGGAGGCCACTGGATCTCACCCCGGGGGCCGGGACTTCCTTCTCCACAGGAGGCGTCTGCGGGCAGACGGCCTTCCTTCCCCATCCCATGGCGGCCCCTCCAGCCCGCTACTCCGTGTCCAGCAAACCTCCCTGACCTCAGCGTGCAGAGGCCACCGTGTGAGGGACGGGCTGCCAGGCTCCACGCCAGCTCCCCGCCCGTTACTGCTCTCCGCTGGGCCCCTGTGCTCATATCTGCAAGCTGGCATGGCAGCCCCTGGCTGGAAAGCCCTGTGGGTGGTCAGTGAGCTCTGCCAGGGACGTGCTCAGCAGACTCTCGCCACGCAGACGCCTGCACCAAAGCGGCCTGCCTCTTAGGGGTGGGACACTGAGCGTGGCGGTGTGGGTGACCCTCAAACCTCAGACAACGCTGACTCCCTGACAGCACTTGGGACAGCCCAGCTTTGGAGGTGAGGTAGCCACAGGCCACCCCCAGCCCCACGGGGTGCCTGGCAGCCTGCTGGGGGCCCAGAGCAGGCAGATGTGGGTGCCCCCCTGGTCCAGAGACTGCCATCACCAGTGAGTCTCGCCATCAGACAGGACACTGGGACCAGCATGCCCTGTGGGCCAGCTCCTTTCCCATCTGCACAGCTGTGCCAGCCGGCCAATGGGAGGCCTTCCCTGGGGTGTCCACACAGCTGTCTGACCCTGGGGCCTCGTGAGGGGCGGGGAGTCCACAGGCTCCCACGGGCACAGCCCTTCCCGTGCCAGGTGATCCCCTGGCATCACAGTGGCTCCCTGCAGGGCGCGGCGGTGTCTGCAGGCGGGAACGCGCCCTGGGTGGAGGAGTTACCTTCCCATGGACAGGCACACACTCAGCGCCAGGGGTTCTGTGCACTGACACTGTCATCGTCCCCATTTGACAGATGGTCAAACAGAGGCAGGGGAAGGTAAAATCATTTGCCGGTCTGTTATGTGCCTGAGCGGGCGGAGCCTCGTCCGGATACACCCAGGCTGCAGGTTCCACCTCTCCTCAGGGCGCATACAGAAGCATAAGTGAGTGGAACACAAGGCCACAGGTTTCTCTCTCTCCCTGCCTCTCTCTCTAAAAAAACAACAACAACAACAACAAAAAAAACCACAAAAAAAACCCTGACCTCTCAACCCCCAAAATGCTCAAGGAACAAATTATTATTATTATTATTATTATTATTATTATTATTATTATTTTGTTCCTCAAGTTAAGAGGGCTTTTCTGAGCCTCCTACTTCTGCAGGGTGTGCCCTGCTGTGCCCATACCGCGGAGGGGAACACTGAGGCTGGCAGCCCGTGCAGAACAGGGGGGCAGTGTGAGGCCGCTTTGGGGCCCTGGGATGGGAGCGGAATGGCACCGGGTGAGGGTGGGGAGTGTGTACCAAGCACTCAGGGGGGCTGGCTCTGTGTGACCACAGAGCACACCTGCACAGACAGGGGCCATCGGGCCGCTCCATTGGGGTCCGCTCCCAGGGCGGGAAGCTTCTCCTGCATCACCCATTGCATCCCGCGGCGTCTCAGGATGGAGCTCCGGCTGCGCCCCGTTACCTAAGGGCAGGCTGACCCCCATCTAAGGGCAGCTGCACCCCAGGCCTGGGACCAGGGCAGGGACCACGGCCTGAAGGCCCCTCCCAGGGTCTGCGGGCGGCCGTGACGTCACGCCCACCGGCCAATGAGGCCGCGCGGCCCCGGCCGGATTGCGCAACGAAGACGAGAACTTGAAAGGATTCCCCGGGCCGCGGCGCCCCGCGCTCCCCCTCCGCCCGGATCCGCCGGGCCCGCCGCCTGTCCGGCCCCCGCGGCCAGCCCTGCCCGCGCCGAGGGCGTGTCCGCGGAGCCCCGCGGAGCCGGGCGCCGGGCGCGGGCCGGACCGCGGTCCCCGGACACCCCCCCCCCCCTCCCGGCGCTGCTCACCCGGGGGCCGGGGAGGGGACCGGCCTCTGGCGGGTTAACTCCCAGGCTCCCCAATTGGGGGTGCGCAGCCCTGAGCGGAGTTCGGGCCCCTCGGACAGAAGCCGCGACCGACCACCGCGGACAGCCGCTCCCCGCCCGGGTCCCCCCGCCCGGGTCCCTCCTGGTCCCCCCGCCCGGGTCCCCCCGCCCGGGTCCCTCCTGGTCCTCCCGCCCGGGTCCCTCCCGGGTCCCTCCCTCCCTGGTCCCCCCGCCCGGGTCCCTCCCTGGTCCCCCCGCCCGGGTCCCTCCTGGTCCCCCCGCCCGGGTCCCCCCGCCCGGGTCCCTCCTGGTCCCCCCGCTCGGGTCCCTCCCGGTCCCTCCCTCCCTGGTCCCCCCCCCGGGTCCCTCCCGGGTCCCCCCGCCCGGGTCCCTCCTGGCCCCCCCGCCCGGGTCCCTCCTGGTCCCCCCGCCCGGGTCCCTCCTGGTCCCCCCGCCCGGGTCCCTCCTGGCCCCCCCGCCCGGGTCCCTCCCGGGTCCCCCCGCCCGGGTCCCCCCGCCCGGGTCCCTCCCTCCTGGTCCCCCCGCCCGGGTCCCTCCCTCCCTGGTCCCCCCGCCCGGGTCCCTCCCGCCCGCGCCGGGCGGCTGCTCACCGTGCGTTCCCGCGTCCGGGGCGCCCGCCCGCCGCTCCCGCCTCCGGCTCCGGCCGCGCCTCCCACGCCCCCGGGCGGAGCGCGGGCCGCCGGGGCGGGCGGGGGTGGCTGGCGGCGGGGCGGCCCGAGGCCCGGAGCATCCCGGCGGCCGCCGTGGCCCGAGCGCCTGCTGGGCTGTGCGCCGGCCGCGGTCCCGCCCTCTCCCCGCCCGCGCCGCCCGCGCCGCCCGCGCCGCCGCTCCCGCCGCTCCCGCCGCTCCCGCGGCCGGCGGGGGCGGAGCGGGCGCCTGTCTCCGCGGGGCCTCCGCGCCGCCCCTCGGCCGCCTCGCCCCAGCTCCCGGTCGGTCCTGGGGAGAGGCCCCCATCGCCGCCCCTCGGGGTCCACACTCCGGCCTGACTCTGAGGACCCAGCGGGGCGGGAGGCTCACATCGCAGGTGAACGGGTGAGGAGAGGAGCAGGCGCGACTTCTAGGAACTGGGGAGTCTTTCGGGCCGGGCTCCGCGGCAGGGGAGGGAGGCTGGGTCAGCTGAGGGGGCAGGGGCTGCTGGGGGGCTGTCCCTTCCTGGCTCCCGCTCAGAAATGTTCTCAAACCGACTACTGACTGCGCAGCCAGGGGAGGCCAGGCCCCTGCATTCAGCACCCCTGACCCCCGCCCTTTCCCCCAGAGCCCCCCATTAGTGCTCCTGAGGGGGGTACAGGTGCCACCCACAGGCGGGGGAACTCTGGGGGTCATCCAGCTGGTCCCCTCGATAGGGGCCTTGGAGACCCTTGAGTCCCGAGAGTGGCCACTGGCCTCCTGTCCAGGCAGAGGACCCACCTGCCTCTTCAGGCCGCCTGTGGCCACCACACCTGTGACCACCACGCCCTGGGCCAGAGCCTCGGAGCCACTGGCGCTGCCTGGCTCCGGACCCCCTTGCCCAGTAGCTGGGACGTACCCGTGAGTGGCAGCCCTGTGCCTGGAGGAAGGCAGGCACCTGCCCAGGACACTTCCACAGCCTGGCTCCTGCCCGCGGCACACCAGCCTGGTCCACACGCTTAAGCAGCGAGAGAGCGAGGAGCAACTCCTGGGGAGGGGCTGGCGGGGACGGGTGGGGGGGACTGGGAGCCAGTCCTCTGCGGCGATGAGGGTGTGTGCATAGGGAGGCTGCAGTGAAGGGGGGCTGGGCGGGCGGCCATGTGCTCCGCGTGTGTGGCTTCGGGGTGGGCAGGCCGCTCCCTGCCCCGGTGGCCCTGGTCAGAGGCCACCAGCAGGGAGACCGGCAGGGAGCATGGCGTTCCTAAGGCAAACAGGCGATCCCGTCCTCCCAGCCTCGGGTCCCAGGGCTGCCCTGCTCCCCCGCTGAGGTCTGAGTGCCCCTGCCCGGCTCCCCCGCTGAGGGCTCCGCAGGCGCAGGGGCAGGTGGGCGGGGCCCCCACGGCTGCCCTGGGACCTGGGCCGAGTGCTCTGCCAGCCTGGGCTCTGCCCATCTGCCTTGGGGCGGCCTCCGAGTCCTAGCCCTGGCACTGCCAGTCTTCAGGAGGCTGGCACAGGGCGTGGTGGGCTGGGAGGCCCTCGGGCTGAGCAGGGTGGGCTGCTGTGGCCTGTGGCTCCCCTCCCCCCCTCCCAGGCAGGAAATAACCCGTCAGCGGGCCCGGGGCCCGAGACATTCCGAAGCTCTTGGCCCGGGCTCTGCACATCTGGAGCCCAGTTCCTCTCGGGCCTCGGGGACGAGCTGAGGGAACATCCTCCCCGGTCCAGCTCCAGCTGCTGGGGGAGGGGCCTTTCTCAGCTGGCGGGACAGCTGCCCCCGCAGTGGCCTGGGCGGTTTATCTGCCCTGAGGCGGCTGGACCGGGTGCAGACACAGATGTACACAGGTGTGCACACGGGCTGTGCACGCACACAAGCGCCCACCCTCACACTGGTACCGCTAACATACCGGCCCCCAGACCCTCACCCCACAGCCAGCCCCCCCCCCCCCCCCCAATGGCTGGGGCGTTCCTACATGCGCCTCGGGCCTACAGGCGGCTTCTTGCCTCTTGCTCTTGAGGAGCCCAGAGGCCACCGCGGTGGAGCCCAGCTGCCCCTGCTCCTGGGCCCGCCCCCCCCCCCCCCCGCCCCTCACACCCCGCCCCAGCCACGGAGGCCACACAGACTCGGCGTCACCGCAGGAGGAGCCAGATAGACCTCGGGGCCAGGACACGGAGCCAGGGCCGAACGGGGCTCTCCTGGGAGTGGGTTGCTGTGCCTGAGCGTCCGGGGCGCCCAGGCACCGGCGGCCAAGGGGCTGGGGTGCTGTCAGGCGGGAGGAAGCTCAGGAAGGCAGGCGGGCGAGCCCACGGAGCCCCAAGACAAAGACCACCGGGCCAAGGTCCAGCTGAACAGCAGCTTTATTGGTGAGGCTGGAGTCCTGGCAGGCCGCGCTGCGGGAGTGCTCCCCAGCCTTGGGGATGTGGGGGGGGGGGGGCGATGTGAGCACGGACATGGGTTATATAAATAAAGCTTTGGTGTATATTCAGGAAGGCAGGTTAACACTGCGAGACGACACTGCACGCCACACCAGCTCATGGGGAGTGGGTTTTGGCCAAGGGGTAACTTCTAAGTGATGGGGTGTGGGGCTGCTCCGAGCCCAGCGGAGGGAGGAGGTGCCTAGGCCTGAGGCTCCACCTGGCCCTGCCGCTTCGCCTTCATCTGCAGGTACCGCCCTTTGCCTTCCTCAAAGCGCTTCTTCTCGTCCTCGGTCTCGGGCTGTGGACACAGAAACAGCAGGTGAGAGACAGCAGAGCCCGGGACCTACCCAGTCCGCTGGCCGCCTGGGACCTCCCGGGCGCCCGGAGAGGCCTGCCAGCCAGCCGTGCCCCCTCGAGGCCGGATGCCTCCAGGGCAGAGCGCTGCAGCGGGGACACAGGAGCGAAGACAGCGGGCACCTCCAATCGCCGTTCCCACAGCCACACCTAGTCCTCTTGGTAATGAACTTCAGCTGATCTGGCCGTGGAGGGAAGCCCAGAGCGGAGCCGAGCGAGAGGAGGGAAGAGGTTTGCTCCACAGAGGATGCCAGCTGCAGGCAGTCTCGATCCCAAAGGACAGTGGGACAAACGTGGCCACGTGGCCTGGGGAAGGCCATTTCGTTGCACTGTGGGCACGGACACCCAGGAGGTGGCACTGAGGTCTGCGTCGCCTTGTCTTCCCTTCCTCTGAGCAACTTGAGAAGCAGGTCCCCACACGGAGAGGCGGAGCCAGCTGCCAGCGGGTTTGCAGGGGCCAGTGCTGGCTCAGGCCTGCTGACCTGGGGAGGGTGACCGGCGCCCCTTCATTCAGGAGCGGCCCAGCTGCTCACTGCGGGGCCCCTGGGCGGAGGGGCAGAGGGCACTGCCCGAGCCCACCTCCTGTGCTCAGTGCTCTCCGCTGGCAGCCCGGCTGGGATTTAGGATTAAAGAGCCGCGTGGTTCCCCTGGGAAGACGCTTGGAGTCTGAAAGCCGCCCTTCACCACAATGACACGCCAGCGGCTATTTTCAGGCCCGAGGTTTTAAGACGGCGTGTTGGAGAGAGCAATCCCCCAGGACGAGGAGCAATGTCAGGACCAAGCGGGCCCCCCCCCTGCCCGGCTGGCTCTTTAAGACGGAACTGGAGGCCCTGCATTGATGGGAAGCCACCCAGGAAACACGCCAAGGGCTCTTGTGGCTCAGGGAGCTGGGAGGGGCTCAGGAAGGGCGGCGAACGGCCCTGCAGAGCTGACGTCATGAGCTTAGGCGCTGGCACCAGGGGCAGGCAGCTGGCACTGGGGCTGAGGAAGACCCCAGGGGTCACCTCACTCTCTGCAGCCATCACTGTCCACCTGTCCACCGGCCGTCTGTCCATGCCACCACTTCGGTTCTTTCTCTTGGGGGCATGTCACTCTTGCACGTGTGTCCCCGACTCTGGACGGGACATGGGGCCCTCCTGAGGGTCTGAGGCCACATGTGCTTGGCCCCTCACAATAAACACGGCCTCTGGTCAAGGCTCTGAAGATCTTGAAGGTAAACCTGCTGACTTTGTGTAATCGATTCCCAAACTGACCTGGCAGGGACCCTTTCCTAAGAAACCCTTCTCGGCAAGTGCTAACCACACACTCCGCCATCAGCTGGCCAAGCGGGCCCTCAAAGTTGGCCTCACCGGGCAGTGGCAGCTCTGCCAGCCTCCAGAATTGGGTCACTTCAAACAGGCCAGCAGGGCAAGGCCAGGGCACAGCTGGACCACCTGGGTCCCCACACACCACAGACCTTCCTGGGGGGGGGGGGCTCTTCATCCTGCCCCAGCCCAGCCTCCCCCCAGGGCCAGCCCAGGGGACCAGCAGCCTCCCCCACTTCTCTCTTCTGGAAAATGGGCCAGTGTCCACCCCACAGGGTGCGGTGGGGACCAATGTCCTCCTAGCTTGTCCCTGTCTGACATCAGGAGTTAAAACTCAAAGCAGCCCTGGCTGGTGTGGCTCAGTGGATAGAGTGTCGGCCTGCAGACTGAAGGGTCCCAGGTTCGATTTCTGTCAAGAGCACATGCCCAGGTTGTAGGCTCAATCCCCAGTAGGGGGCGTGCAGGAGGCAGCCGATCTATGATTCTCTTTCATCATTGATGTTTCTCTCTCTCTCCCTCTTCCTTCCTCTCTGAAACCAATAAAAAACAAAAAGACACACCTCAATGCAAATGGCAGACTGTACGTGTGCGAGTCTCAGGAAAGCTGTTCTGAACCACGGCCGCCTCGGAGGCCAGGGCACGCTCCGCAGTCACAGCCGGCTAAGGGAAGGTTTGGGCAGTGACCCCCAGCAGAGGGGCCAGGGTGGAGGGAATGCTCACTCAATAAAACCAAGTACCGTCAGCCCTCGGCCGAGCCTTCACTGCCTCCCTCCCCATGTCCCCGCAGGCACACGCCTCCCCTGCATGTATGTCCCCGCAGGCACACGCCACCCCTGCATGTATGTCCTCCCAGGCACACGCCTCCCCTGCATGTATGTCCTCCCAGGCACATGCCTCCCTGTGCACAGGCGCCGGGGACCGCCTCTGAGAGTGGACCTAACTGGGCAGGTTCTGCACCGCAGAGAGGGGCAGCCGTGGCCCCAGGACGAAGCCCAGCAGTGAGGGGCCAGGCGCTGGGGTTCCTGGAAAGGTCCTGACCCAGGGTCCCCAGGGT